TTACACGTAGATGGGTCTTCAACAAAGCAAGGATCCGGAGTGGGAATTAGGTTGGAATCTCCGACATCAGAAATTCTAGAACAATCGTTCCGATTGTTATTCAATGCCTCTAACAATGAGGCAGAATACGAAGCCCTTATTGCCGGACTTCGGCTAGCACAAGGAGTTGGAGCTAAGGAAATATTGGCTTATTGCGATTCGCAATTAGTAGCTAACCAGTTTAATGGAGACTATGAAGCCAAAGATTCAAGAATGGAAGCTTACCTCGAAGTGGTGAAGGATTTATCTAAAAATTTCTCGAAATTCGAGTTAATCCGCATACCTCGCGGAGAGAATACAACTGCAGATGCACTCGCCGCATTGGCGTCAACATCAGATCCTGAGTTAAAGAGAGTTATTCCGGTAGAGTGCATCTCGGAGCGAAGCATTCAAGACAGCAAGGAAACCCTCGTCGTTACAAGGTCTCGAGCAGCGGCACGTGACCATGGTGAACCAGAGATCGAACCGCCACCCAACAAACGCAGGAAGTCAAAAGGATCAAATACATCTAACAAGGAACCCGTTGTCTTAGCTGAAGAAATGATTCCAGAAACGATGATAGAAACCGAGCCATTACTCGAGGAAAATATTCTTGAACCAAACGAACATCCCGAACCAGAGCCGCGGATATTTCACAAAGTTGACCAAATTCCGGCTAAAGACTGGGGGGCTGACTGGAGGGAGCCAATAAAGCACTACATCACGACAGGCGAGCTCCCAAAGAATAAATGGCAGGCCAGGAAAATGAAAGTCGTTAGCGCGAAATTTTGCCTATCAAAAGATGCGTTATATAGGCGAGGTGTTAGTGACCCTTACCTACTATGCATTTTTGGGCCCGAAGTCGAAATCGTCATGAGCGAAGTGCATGAGGGATTATGTGGAAGTCATTCATCAGGAAGAGCTATGGCTTTTAAAGTTAAAAGAATGGGGTACTTTTGGCCCACTATGATCACAGATTGCGTTAAGTTCGCCCAAAGATGCAAGCGCTGCCAACTCCATGCGCCATTAATCCATCAACCGTCGGAGTTATTCTCTTCCATTTCCGCCCCATACCCGTTTATGAGGTGGTCGATGGACATCATTGGACCATTGCACAAATCAACTCGAGGTGTACAGTACCTTTTAGTCCTCACGGACTACTTTTCGAAATGGATTGAAGCTGAGGCGTATGTCGGTATCAAGGATTCGGCGGTAAAGACTTTTATTTGGAAAAACATTATATGTCGACATGGAGTTCCGTACGAAATAGTCACTGATAATGGACCGCAATTCATTTCACACGAGTTTGATGCCTTTTGTGCGGACTGGGGAATTAAAGTTAGTTATTCTACTCCAAGATATCCGCAAGGAAACGGTCAAGCCGAAGCCGCGAACAAGACGATATTAAGCAATCTCAAGAAACGCTTAAGTCATCTAAAGGGAGGATGGTATGAAGAACTCCAACCCGTCCTGTGGGCTTATCGTACAACCCCTAGGCGACCTACAGGAGAAACTCCATTCTCTTTGGTTTATGGCATGGAAGCGGTAGTACCAGCTGAACTCAACGTGCCCGGACTTCGTCGAACGGAAGCACCGTTAAATGAGGAAGAAAATTCAGCGATGCTTAACGATTCACTGGATACCATAAATGAAAGGCGTGATCAAGCTCTAATTCGGATCCAGAATTACCAACAGGCAGCAGCCCGGTATTACAATTCTAAGGTCAAAAGTAGGCCGTTCTTCGTGGGAGACTATGTATTAAGGCGTGTATTTGACAACATAAAAGAAGAAGGCGCCGGTAAACTCGGTATTAATTGGGAAGGACCTTACGTTATTACCGAAGTGGTTCGGAACGGTGTTTATAGGTTAAAAGACCTAGAAGACAATCCAGTCAAGCGACCTTGGAATGTGATCAACTTAAAAAAGTTTTATGTTTAAAAGCTACATGCATTGTTTATGTACATGAACTACGATTTGGCTTGATCCCGAAATGGGTACGTAGGCAGCTCGAAAACGAGTTCAGCTATTAATAAATTTTTTTTTTGTTTTATTTCTTTATTAAAGGAAGAAGGTTCGGCTATGCGAACATACAAGAGATTGGAAATAAAGCGTTTACAAAAAAAAAAGGGAGGCGAAGTGTCCCTCATCGTACACTTCGAACTACGAAATCCTCGTTGACGAGCAGAACACTTCAATTCCTTGACCAGCAAGATCGAGGATTGACATCATGCAGTCCGGAATTCGAGCAAAGTCGGAGATTCCAAGCTCAATCCACTCTCCGGGGTGAGATTCAAGAATGTAAAGATTTCTTGACACCGTAGTAAGTCTGCGTTGCATCCGGTTAATCCTCTTCCGGAGTCTCCTCTTTTCCGACGTAAGCTTCCGGTGTTGAAGTTCAAGTGTTTCTATGAACGCCGTCGCTGTTCCTTGGTCTCTGACTGAGAGATTCCTGATCAAAGCACAGGGGGCTCGGATCTGAGATCTCGAGAAGCCGCGAAGTGGAGGAGGCTGCCTGTTGGGCTCACTTGGAACATCTTCATTCATCATTCCGATTCTGGAGAAGTCGGGCATAGATTCTGAACAGCGTAGATTGAACTCCATGCCTGCTAAAATAAAAAAATGGTGAGGAATAAAGGGGGGTTGAACCTATAATTTATAGGAACCCCATATCCCTAGCAAGCTACGGATTCTATCCAAGTAATGGAATGATTCGCGGAGAGATTTATGCCCTCGAACGGATCCTGCATTAAAAGATGCATCTCGAAGAGTATTTGGAAAAGAAGGAAAGTAGCAAATATTTCCATAAATAAAAAAGGGCCGAAGCCCATTACGAGTTTTTGTTTTTAAAAAAAAAAGAGAAGAGAGAAGCGAAGAAATTGGAGAACATTTATGGGAGAGGCTCAGGAACAGGCTCCTTCATCGCCGGTTTAGTCCTCGAAGTGGACGCCTTGTTTTTGGCATCCACTTCGGAACGATCCCGAAGGCGTTTCCGGCAGTCGCTGGCCTCCTCCTCCAAGTCCTCTTCCTCTTCATCGTCGGATGGAGTGACGAAGACGGGGGCGTTCGCAGGGCCCGGGATCCCTCTAGCGCGGAGATACATCCGAAGCATCTTCGGGATCTCAGCAACGGAGTCGAAGTTCCGCCACTCCCATTGAAAGGGGTCGCTTTCCAAGGCCCGTATCTTCCTCTCCACTCGAGCGATGCGAGCCTCGAGTGTTTGCCTTTTGAGGCCCAGCCGCTGCCTCTCTTCACATAGCCGGCGGTGCTTGTCGGCGACCTAACATAAAAGAGTGAATAATATGAAGCAAAAAGTTTTTAAGCCAAAAACTTTAAATATTTACCTTATCGATGAAGTCGCAAGCTTCTTTCTTCTCCTTTGAAGGGAAGTGAAAGACGGCGTGAGGAAAGAGAACGCCGGCCGGTTCAAAGCCGTCGCCGGATAAGAAGAGGGGACTGCCGGGAGCGATGGGGGCTACTTCTTCGTTTTCCATCCTTAGAATATTTCTCAAGTGAGATTCTATAGTCATGTTTAATAAAGCCTAGAGGTAGGTAAGCCTTTACTTATAATGATTTAGGGTTTGTCTTGGAAACATAAATTCATTAATGATAGCGTGCCCAAGTGGTTTAAACCATTTTTGGAAAATCGAGAAAAGGCAATTATTACATTAAAAGACGCGCCGTTCTCTTTAAGAAGGGAAAAAGCAACCGTCGCATCAACTGCAAAAGTTTCTAAGGCCCAAGCCTAACAAGTTTACCGAGTTGACTAAACCCGAAGTGGGGAACTCGCTTTAAGCCGAGCTCAGTTCTCGCATTCTAAAGAGAAAGGTCTGATCAGCCTATAAAAATCTCGAAAGCATTGCCACAAGGCCACAAAAGGTTAAAAGCGGACTTTGCAAACCCGCATTTAATTTTAACCAAGCCCCCTTGGGTCACAACCTAGAAAGGTTTAAAAGCCTCCTCAGGCAAATATCTTGTTCAAAAGAGAATAATAATAAAGCCTCCTTAGGCAAAAATAATTGTGAAATTAAGTCTTAAAAATAAAGAGACAATCCCCAAGTCAAAGTGGACACAGCCACTACGGAGCAGCAGCTACCTCGGAGTCCGGCTCAACAGTCGAAGCTTCATTCACGTCCTTGGCAGCTGCTTGATCAGATGAAGTTTCCTGACCACCCTCCACGGTACAACCAACCTCCGGAGTGACCTCCGACACCATAGGAGCTACGGGCGGGACAACGTCCTCCGCCCCACTTGAGCCTAGGAATAATAATTCCAGTCAACCAAAGGTGCAAGAAAAGGAAAGGTAATAAATGTCAGGAGCCAAGCATTACCTGCCCAGTCTAGACCTGATTCGCTTATAGGAGGCGATTCGGTGAAGAATTCCTCGAAGTCCTGAGGGTTGAAGGTCGAAGTAGGAAGAGCTGCCAAGCGACTTCGCTTTTCAGAAAGATTAGCCGATAGTTCAGTTCTCTCTTGATCCTCGGAGAAATCCGCATCATGGATTTGATCCAGCAGGATCAGGTTGCTCTCGTGCTCCTTGATGTCAGATTCCAGGTCAGACCTAGCCTTCTCAGTCTGCATGAATCGGATGGCCCCTTGGATCAACTCCATCCCGCGTCCCTTGACCTCTTTTCTGGCTTTTGACGCCGACTTCGCCAACTCGGAGTCACGCAATTTGGCGATCGCCTTGTACTTCGCGTTGAGCTCGATGAGTTGGTTGTTCAGGGAATCAGCGTTTGATTCAGACTCTTGCAGCCTACCTTGAATACCAGAAAACTCTTCCTGGAGTTTGAAGTTCTGGTCGTACTGACCCTGCAGCTCCCCCTTTATTTGCGCAAGCTCGGATGTTAAATTGTCGACTTTGTCCTCCAGATCATGCTTGGAGCCGGCAGAAGAACTGAGTTCGGCCTCAAGGGCGGAGAGTTTCTTCGTCAACATGTCAATCTCCTTCTCCCGGCCAATGACCAACCCTTCGTAATGTTCGATCATGTCGTTAAATTCGCTTTGAGCCTGGCGTTATACATGAACCCGGGATGATAAGTCAGTTCGCAGAATGGCAATACAATAAAAAATATACATAAAAGAAAGCGGGACTAACCCGAGATGAGTGATGCGCGTGAAGCAAATAACGTTCACGAATCGCGGGGCGCCATTTGTTGAAATCTGGCAAGATCGAACCAGAACGGGTCTTGAAGCATCGGAAGACGCTGCCTTCTGTCTCCATAGCTGCGAAGAAGGAAGAATTGTAAAAATTGGAATTTTAATAAAGACGAAGGTTTAAGTGTGTGTAAATCACCAAACCTGAAAGCGATTTGACTTGAGGTACAAGAGCAGGCTTCAGCCTCGAGGGAGCATCTCGAGATTCAGAATCTCCTTTTTTCGGAGACGCGCTCCGGGCGGTCTTTCCACTATCAGGCTGGGAAGAGGAAGACATGTCAACCGGTCGTGGAGGACCCATTGGTTCAGAAGGAGGGGATGACCGAGGTGAGCGGTCAGTCCGGGTCCTTGACTTTTCCCTCTGCGGGGAAAGATCACTACGAGAGGACCTGTCTCTCTTTCGGCGAACCAAGTTCTTAATTGGCTCGTTACTAAAATCATCCCGGGAAGGACGAGGTGAATCACGGCGAGGAGATCGATCCCTCCGAGGAGAACGTGAGTCGCGACGATCTCGACGAGGAGTTAATCTGAAGGAAGCAACAGATCGAGCTCCCTCAGTACTGCCATCATCGACCAGCAAGGTCCTACTATAGTCCTTCTTGTCAATAGAAGTCGCGAGAAACTTTTTCTTCTCTTCGCAAGCTTCAGCCATCGGCTTGGAAAGCAACTTTCGCTTGGCCGCAAGGGCCCGAGATGACATTCCCTGAGTTGAGGGAGGGGGAGGAATTTGGTGAAGATGACCAGGCGGACTCATCCTGAGTCTGTGGTTAGCCTCTATGAATCGTTCGAGAGTGAAGGAATTCCAAAGGGTTTCCCCTTCAAGAATTATTTTGAAGAATTCGATGAACTCTTCAGATGGGAGATTGGAAGCGATGAAAGCTGCGAAATGAAACAACGATGTTAGTTAATAAAGATAGAGAAACAACCGGGAAAGATACGGGCGACCTAATCTCTACCAGGTTTCGCCGACCACTTCGAAGGGAGGAAATCTGCAAGATTTCCAACCGAAGCGGGAGTTTTCTTAATCAAGAACCAAGGATGATGCCAATTTTCATCCTTGTTTGGAAGATGCGAAATGATGTTCCTGTTGGCGTTAGGATATGCTGAGAAATACCCCGTTTTCTTCGACGAACTTCTCACGCTTAGAAGCTCATTTAATTCGGCAACTCCGATAACGTAACCGGCCTCCGCCGCGATTGTTATAATGCCGAGAATTGTGCGGAGAAGATTGGGGGTTAATTGAGGAAGAGCGATTTCAAGAGCCGCTAGGTATAAAATTAGGGCTTCGGGAAGAGGAAAGGTAAGCCCGCAACCCTTGAAATAAATCTCATACACACAGAAGTAACCATTGCGATGGTTCTCTGGAGATTCTGTGGGGGAAGCTATTTGTGCTTCAGCCATAATTTCCGGCGGAATCCGGCAAAGCTCTTTCAACCGCTCTAGGGATTGAAGAGTACAAGTGGACCTATAGTGCGGACCGGCAATGTCACCAGGGCGGGTGCACTCATCGTTACTAGAACGCCTCTCGTCGAAAGACGGAGACTCGGGTCTATCGGAATCAGAAGTCATTGGAAAGAAAAATTCAAGATCCGGCGAGGAAGGGTTTTGTGAAGGAACGAAGAGAGAGGTTTTGATTAAAGTACAAAAGTAAAAGAAGAGAGTAATGGTGAAAAGAAGTTACCTCAAGCTAATGATGAAACCGCCTCGGAAGTTGTGTGGGAAGTGGGAAGGTTTTTTCCCGTTTTAATAGTAAATTAATCAATATACGGTCATAATGATGACAGATGTCACTCGGTTTAAAAAGGATAGTGCCAAAATTAAAGGAGTGATGGGACTTTCGGCGGGAAATCAGAAAGATTCTCGAGCACAATCTTTGGCCACTTGAGCATTTAAAGTCCTCCGAACTGGAATAAACACTTCGAAGAACTTGGGGGGCTAATTGTTGGTGTCGGATCCCGCACCAGAAGTACGAGACCAACCAAAGATTGCCACGTAATCAGGATAATGGCCCATAAAGGATTAAGCCCATTGGACCCGCGAGCCGAAAGGATGGACGAAGTGGTTGTCACCATTTAGATAACCCGAAGTGACTGCACTATGACGCGAGTTCGGTGTAGAAGACACGGGTAAGTCGGTTCGAAGACATTTGGGCCAGAAGAGGCGAGGCCCGTGAAGATCAGAGTCAACTCAAATTCAAACGTTGAGCATTAAAGCCGAAGAATCAAAACGGACACATTTAAGAAGGAATAATTGTACTTAATTACTCATTTTAAATGTCGTTTAGCTATGTATAAATATAGAGGCCAGTGGCCATGTAAAGGGGGGACCATCTAAAAAAAAGAGAGAAATAATATAGCAATTTTCGTATCAATTTACAAGTTCTTACGTATTCATTTTTGTCCCTCAAGAATAATCTTTCCCATTTAACAAAATACTTGAGTGTGTGAATCCGACTTCCACAAAGATGAAGTATAATGATTAAAAATTAATTGTTATTTTCATGATTCACAAAATTTAATAAATACTTATTATCTTGTTGAATAATTATAAAATCATATTCAAGAAATCTTTATAAATTGAAAATTAAACTTCTTTGGTAAGCTATAGGTATGAAAATATCATAATTTCGATTTAATCTAATTAAATTAAAATTATTTACATGAATTTCATATCTATTTAATTTACACGACCAGAATAAAAAAATCTATTTAATTTACACGACCAAAATAAAAATATCAATTTAATTTATAAAACAGATAGGTTATTTGTGAAATTTTTTCTAGAAATCTTTAAAAGCAAGTAAAATATCTTTCAATTAATGATAATTGGCTAAAATGAGCGAAATTAATGACAAAAACGTTGATTGTTATGGAATTAGTCCCAAAAATATATGAACAAATTTATTATACGTAATTAATGTATAATATTGTTTGGAATATGCTTTTATTATTAGTTACCATAAGTACAATCAGATTTTATTTGATTTCCATAAATATTTGATTTTATTTCGATTTTTCATTATTAATTCGAATTTATATTCCAAAAAAATTTCAAAGATCCGATTTCAGAATTTCGGGTCAATTTTCTGATTTTAACCCGACCCATTTTCATTTGTACTTCTCTTTTAATAGTATAGAGATTTGTAAATAATTATAAAAGTTGTCTCGTCTCCAATAAAAAAGCATCGAATTTCTTGAAAGTTTTCTTTTAAATGTAATGTGCACGCTACTACAATCGAATAGTATGTCAATGAAAAATGTCTTACCTCATTAGGAATACATGCTATTACTTATTCAGTTATTTTAAACAAGAATTGATTTGGTTTGTTCAAAGTTAACTAATCATAACTAAACAAAGATGACAAACTAAGACTTATCAAAGCATAAGCAAACATAAAACATAAGGATAAATGAGTTTAACTAAGTTTATCTCTTAGCTTTAATATAATGAATTGAAATTTGTTGAGGTAAATATAAGAAAATGCCAAAAAAAAAAAAAAAAAAACTTTAGGTCTGGTCACGGTGATTGTGTTCAAAATACTTCGAATGCAAGAATAGAGAATGCGGATCGGGGTGTTTCACATCTCCCCCTTCTCCTCTTTGGATCCCCTCATTTGTTGATCAGACCGCAAGACCAAAAGATACAAATGATCAAATCCAATACATGTCAACGATAGTTTCGCAGCGGAAGTCGCCTTGCGTTTTGGTGGGTGGTGCAGCGAGTGAAAGGCGAGTTGCGGCGTTGTGTAAGGGGCCTTTGTGGCTTTGGCGGTGGTCCGTTTTCGTTATCCTCCCTTCACCGGATCGAAGATGGGTCTGATTCCGGCGACTGGAAGCTCCCGACGATGTGAGAAGATGGCTAGCGGCCGATATAGAGGACATCTCTGTCTAGGGTTTCCTGATCTGTTGCGTAGGATGTACCGGTCTTAACCGGGGTTTGTCTGATTTCAATTTTGTTAACCGCTCCTTTATTCCCGGTTTGAGGTTAATTAATATATTATATTAAATAAAACTTATAAAAAAAAAAGTTACCAAATGTGTATTGACTTTAACTCTTTTGAAGAAAACAAATTTTTCAGTAACAATGATCATGAAATTTATGAATGGAGAAAAAAAGCAATGAAATAAACAAAAGAGCATTAAATTTATAAATTCAAGAAGTTATTTTTGGAAGGCAAACAATGCATTTTTGATTTTTGATTTTTTTTTTTTTGTCAACATTTGGACCACAACTGGCCGGTCCATTAGCCTAATTCCTACAAATTGTAGGATCGGAGACTCGATCCCTGGTGTGATGGTGTCTGTCTTCCGTGGACTTGCCACTAGACCAAGATCACTTCACCAATGCATTTTTGATTGAGAAGTGTGTATGTGCATGGCTACAGGCTACTGCTGTATTAATCTTATTGTTTGATGATGTCGCATTATGTTTGGTTGACAATAACTAACTAATGTATAATTTGTTGAGCATGAGTGTTGTATGTGCATTTAGAAGTTAGAATTTAAGATCATTGTTATTGTTCCTTTTTAATACAAAACATGTACTTACTTTTTTAACATTTTTATTTATTGTGTAAGTAAACTTTTATGATATAATAAAATTGATTTGCAGTTTAAAAAAAAGTAATATCTTTGGTTAATATACTACCAAAATATGTAAATATGGCTATCTGAGTAGAATATTGACTTTAATTACAAGAAACATCATATTCATGTATAGACCAAGTATTTTGTTCAGTCAATAGAGGTGGTACAAGTTAGAGATCAGGGTGTTTGAGGGAGAGGAGTGTTACGGATAAAGCTGGTAAAGATATTCAGAGCATGTATAGGTTGGTCCGTAGGAACCATATGACCTGCTCCTTTCACAGTTGCATACGTCAAGTTCCCTTTGTAATCCTCTGTGAACCCTCCCAGCTGTCCTCCGGTAAACCACGGACGCCATTCCTTTACAACCGTTAGATTCATCTCCTTCAGCACGGCCACTGTAGCTGTAAACGGAACCGCCAGGTCCACGTCTCCACTGTAGATCATGACTCGGACACCCTTACCCATCAGCTCGTGAAGGATAGGAATCATTGAGGCATCTTTATCAGTTTCGTTCCATAAATAATTCAAGTCTTCATTGCAAGACTTCCACTCGTACGGTAATTTTGTGGTGTTGGCATGCATCGCTTCTTGAACATTTTCTCTGTTAAGATAAGCCTTCACGTAGTTGCTTCTGCACGGATCAACCTCCATTATTGTGGTGCATTTCTTGGGTTCGCTGCTCAACGTGGAGTTTTGGCACACAAGAGCGTATATGTTGTAAATGTCCAAGACTTTGCTGTCTGTATAATCAAATTTAGCCACCATTATCTTTGTGCATTCTTCCATATTGAATGAGTCGCCAAGGCAGACTTTATTGGACTCTTCAATATCTTTTTGGGTAACCAAACCATGGCTTAACATAAATTCGTTTTCATTATCATGCTCGGTAAGTACGTCCAGACCTGGATTACCAATCAAAATGCCTTGTAGATTGATGAAGGTTTGCTTGTTACGGTGAAGGATGATCTGGGCAAGTTCGGGAATATAGTGACCGGCGTAACTCTCACCGGCGATGTAAATTTCTCTTCCTTTATATTCCGGAAACCTTTCAAGCCAATTCACAAAGAACATGTAGTTATCCTCTGCAGTCAGCTTGTCCCCTTGTTCCCCAAATTTCTCCGCATCAAATGGAGTACTCGAGTACGAGAATCCTACAGTTACCGGCCCTTCGAAGAACAACATGTTCGCCTCTGCAAATCCATACACACTCGCATTCTTATTGATCTCATTACATCTTGTGAATATTATATACTTAAATTTCTAATTATTATATTTTTCTAAAGGTATATACGTACCGTTGTTCCATGAATACGGATTGCGGAAAAGCGTTTTGCCGTCGCTATGTACGCGGAATGGACCAAGCTCTTCAAATGCCCCAAGTCCTACAGATGAGCAGGCAGGTCCTGTATTTTAAAAATAAGTTTGTACTTAGTTTAATTCTCAATGGCTAGAGGAAAATATACATCCTCAAAAACTAGATGGGAGAAGACTTATCTTTTCAAGATTTTAGAAATGTCTAATTATAAAATATAAGTAATTCTAATAAAAAAAGAGTTTGTTTAGAAAATAAATATTCTCTATGTACCTCCGTTGAACCAAAGCACAAGAGGAGTAGATTTATTGGGTTTGATGGCTTCCACGAAATAATAGTACAAAAACCGACTGGCGGGTTCGTTTACGGCCACATAACCGCCATATTGTCTGAAACTAACGGAAGGTTGTCCGGGGAGCTGCTTGATTAGATCTTTCTCCTTAAGCGAAAGCACATTTTCGCGACGAATAGAATTGAAGTGGCTTGTGTCACCTGACAATCCAACTCCTCGCTTATGACTTGGAAAACGTGTTTGGCTACTACAATGGATTTGTAATGCTAGAGACAATAATAGGAAAATACAAGCGGTCAGGGACCAATCATGTCGTTTTCCCATTCTAAATACAAAGTTGGAGTTGGATTAATTGAAGAAACGAGAGAGATGAAAGGTTTAAAAAATGAACGGCAGCATTTTATAGTTATATTTTTGGCTGTTGACAACTATTTTTTACCAAATAGTGGAGTTTTTAAACGATCAGTTCTTTGTTTTTAGTTAGCAAAACAATATATCTTTTTAACTAACTTCTTGAGAGTAAATTTAAAAACCCTATAGTTTGGGTTTCTTCCAAAAGTAGGGAAAAAAAAACACATAAAAAAATCAAGACACGGTGGCAAAAGAAAAAAAACAACTTGCAACGTAAATTCGATGTCCCTGCTTCCTTCTTCACAAAGTCTGAGTCATGTCATATTAATTTAGATAAAGACTAAATATCTTTGTGGTTAAATCAGGCTCAGAAATAATCTGGCCATTCTCGTTTGTAGTATTCTTCTCTTCATTTTTTGTTTTTTGTTTTTTTTTTATTATTTATAATTAATAAGTGGTTTGGTTACATCTCCTTAGGCCAGAAAGCACATCGTTTTATATAGACCCTTACAATTTTAATGAAGGATATTTTTGTTTTACTTATGAGGAATGAAGAGGAAAACACATGTGTGAAATTTGGAAACAAATAAACTTATCACTTTAAATGTTGTAAACTTTGAGGACTCATAATGAATAGTATAACATTACTCTTTAGTTTTTTTTTATTCCAAATTAGCCATCAATTAATGTCATTGTCAGTTAGTGTAATGCACATTTTCGTCCAATGTAGCTGAAACATCCGTAACCTTTAGAAAGTCGTACATATGATTGTACTTGAAGTTTACCATATTCTCACCAATATCAAAGTCAATCAAGAAATAGTGAAAATACTTCTCTTTGGTGGTTAATAAGAGTTGTACGTTTGTAGTTTGGAAACAATTTAGATTTTTTTTTTCTGAATGCATCTTGCTTCATACGTTCGATTGATCATTTAAATTTATGTTTTCGACTCCAATAAACTCATGAATGAATGTACTAATTAGTAGTATTGTTTATTATAAGGTTTAATGACATCACTTGGTGTAGTTTGATGATTTTAGTATTTGTTTGTTTGACAGTTAATAATTCGTGTAACTTGTAGAATGTTGCATCACAATAAATATGTAATATACATGGGCATTTAGAACATAAGATCACTGATTATAAGACGTGCAATTTGCAAAGGCGGGAAATTCATATAGTTTTTTTTTTGTTGGTATCAATTCAACCACTGGACCAAAGTGTCTTATTCAGTTTATAGAGGTGGTACAATAAGTTACAAATCAGGGTGTTTGAGGTAGAGGAGTGTTACGAAGAAAGCTGGTAAAGACTAAAGAGATTAAGAGCATGTATAGGTTGGTCCTTAGGCACATCATGACCTGCTCCTTTCACAGTTGCATACGTAAAATTCCCTTGGTAATCTTGTGTGAACCCTCCCAGCTGTCCTCCGGTAAACCACGGACGCCATTCCTTTACAATCGTTAGATTCATCTTCTTCAGCACGTCCATTGTAGATGAAAATGGAACTGCCAGGTCCAAATCTCCATTGTACACCCAGACTCGGACACCCTCACTCATCAGCTCGTGGAGGATAGGAATCATTGAGGCGGAATGAGATTCTTCGCTCCAACCTTTAAGGGTATCATCATTACATAAGTGTATATGGTAATCTCACTACATAATTTAAGATGAAGAGTATGAGGCAATCAATCATGTTTTGAACAAAGATTTTTAGTGTGTAATTGGTGACTTTAATGACATCCTCATCAATGATGAAACTTTGGCGGTCTTCGGAAATATATGGCGTTTCCAACTCTCCAAAGAGTGCTAAAGAACTTGTTACATGACTATGCGGTAGTGAAAAATGTTTTACATAGCTAGGCGGCTTATTTTTAGAACAAAGGTTATATTATATAACCTTATGATCCAGTCAAATACCATATGCAAATGTATATGCTTATTTTAAATCTTAGTTTGTATATATGTTGAATGAATAAATTGACCAAACCACAAAAGGTAAAAAAAATGGCTTCAAAGCGAAGCACTTGATTTTAAAGAAAAAAAATCATTGCACGGGTCGACCCACCGTCTCGACCATCATACACGGGTTTCCAATGCTTAAATCATCCCACCGTCGTGACCTAACCGACTTAGTCAACCCCGTGAGCCACCCAACCACTTCCTCCATCCCCGGCCGTTTCTCTCTACACGTTCTCACACACTTAGCCGCCACTAACCCCAAATGATTCCTCACACTTACATCAATCGGTGGTCCGATTCTCGGATCATAAATTCCACCGATTTTACCTCTTTTTATCATCGGAATCGCCCAATCTACTATAAACGACGGCGAATATCTAACGTCGATTGCTTTTCTTCCGCTGATTATCTCTAACAACAAGATCCCGAAGCTAAACACATCTGTTTTGGTGCTTAATCTATCAGCCGTTACGTAATCTGGATCTAAGTACCCCATTGTTCCTGCAGGTGGTGTTGATTTCACTTTTTGATCATCTACATTGCATCTGATCGCTAATCCGAAATCGCCTAGCTTCGCGTTTAGATTCTTATCCATCAATACGTTTGCTGATTTGATATCTCTGTGTATGATCGGTGTCTCCTGTGAATGTAGAAGATGAACAGCTTTTGCAATCTGAAGAGCGATTTTGATTCGCTTGCTCCAGCTCGAAATCGCACCGGAATTTAAAACGGAATCTGAGTGAATCACGTCGTATAAGCTTCCGTTTCCCATGTATTCAACAACGAGAAGAGGTTCTTTGGAGTTATCGGCGCTAAAACCTAAGAGATTCACGAACCTAGGGCTACGGATTCTGGAGAGAATCTCGAATTCGTTGTGAAACTCACGGCTGATTTCACGAGATTTCGAAGGTCTCTTGACCGCGACGAGACGTGAACCGATGACTGCTTTGTAAACGCTTCCATGGCTTCCACGTCCGAGGAGATTGTTGATGTCGAATCCACCTGTGGCTGAGTCAAGATCGCGATGCAGGAAACGGCGAAGTCTAGGGCGGTCTTCAATGGGAGACTCGGGACGAGCAGAAGCTTTGCTGGAGGTGGATCCGGAGGTTGATGCGGAAGATGAGACGGCGATTGCGACGGCGGATCCAGCTTTGCAGGAGAGATAACCCATTGAATCGAGAGAAGAAGAAGGTAGAAGGAAGACGAAGAAGAAGAAGAAAGTGAAAGGGAAAGGCGTATGTGGAGTTTAATGGCGTGAGTAGTGAGAAGTCATTTTTGTTAATTTAAGGCACATTTGATTAGACTCAAGAAAGTGGAGGGGTCATGTTATTAATTAAATATGCCTTTTCTTAATTATTCCAAAGCCGCCCTTCTAATTTATTATAACTCTTTTTTGTACCGATAAAGAATAATTCGATCAATTTACACCATTCTCATTATTCAATTGCTCCCGCTGCTGCCACGTGGCATTTTATTGTTTTAGCGCGATGGAAGGTGACGATGGATGAGATGACGTGTATTAATCCTATTGGCTGGACACGTTGTAACGAGTAGTTAGTTTCGTATATAAAATCTGAAACATAAAATGGTAAAGTCGCAAAACGGGAGAAACCTTAAACCTTTATTTACTGATTAAGTCTACCGCCGGGAAGACAAAGATGCCGACGATTTTCTTTTTCCGATGTATGTTACTATTGGTGGTGATCTCATTGGTGGGTTGTTCGATCGCTGAGAAAGTTAACTCTTCTGGGGGAATTGTTTGGTCCACTGCGAGAGATGAAGCCGAATTGGTAGAAGATTCCGGTGTGGTAATCGGAGAGCAAGATCAAATCGACGGTGGATTTTCTTCACTTGATGGGATGTTACACTGGGCAATAGGTAAATTATCTTTTCTAGTGTTTCTTCTTTCTTACTAATTTCATGTAGATCTGATTCTATGTTGGATATCTCCGGTTAGGTCACTCGGATCCTGCGACATTGAAGGAAGCAGCTAAAGATGCAGAGAAGATGTCTTTGGATGAGTTACAGAAGCGTCAATTGGAGTTAAAGGTACGGACTTTGTGATTTTGGTTTTCAATTTCTGCTTGCTTTTTCTATGGAATTTCATGTGATAGTACTCTTGAATAGGAGCTGGTAGAGAAGCTGAAAATGCCATCAGACGCGAATTTGATGCAAATAGCGATAGATGACTTGAAAAATTCGTCCTTGTCTCTTGAAGATCGTCACCGTGCTTTGCAGGAACTTTTGATCCTCGTTGAACCTATTGATAATGCAAATGGTAACTGGAAGCTTGTAACTTGCTATTGAATCTTATCTATATATATTTATTATTGCCCGGAAATTTAGTTCTTAGTTGTGGCATCATTCTTCTCTTGTGTAGATTTGAGCAAATCAGGAGGGCTTAGAGTTGTCGCAGGAGAGCTTAATCATGATGACACAGAAGTAAGGAAACTAGCTGCGTGGGTGCTTGGGAAAGCTAGCCAAAACAACCCCTTTGTTCAAGAGCAGGTTTGTTTTCGTTGTGAATTGTAGATCAGAACCGTGTGTAGAAGTATAAGCCGTCTGAAACAAATCATGTTTCTTGTTCTGTGAATTTGGTATCAGGTTCTTGAACTTGGAGCTTTAACAACACTAATAAAGATGGTAAACTCCAGCTCTGATGAAGAAGCTGTGAAAGCACTCTTTGCTGTTTCTGCCTTGATACGAAATAATATAGCTGGTCAGGACATGTTTTATGCAGCACATGGATACATTATGCTTAAGGTGAGCACACCTGAAATACATCATGTCAGTTTTTGTTCGTTTATTCTCTGGATTGGAAAAACCAATCATGTTTCGTTGATCTGCAGGATGTAATGAGCAATGGGAGCTTGGATATTAAATTGAGACGGAAAGCTGTATTCTTAGTCGGTGATTTGGCTGAGTCTCAACTACAGAACACAGGGAAAGATGAACTTCCTATTTTCAAAGATCGTTTTTTTCTCAAATCTGTTGTCGATTTGATTGTGGTGCTTGATCTTGATCTCCAAGAAAAGGTAGAAATATTACAGGGCCCTTTGACCGTATTTTCCTCTATGAATCTTGGCACACATCTCTTTCTAACTTATGGTACTCGGAAAATATGTTTCATGTTTCAGGCTCTTACAGCAATCCAAACTCTTCTTCAACTTAAATCCATAGAGCCTCAGATTCTCAAAGAGTTCTGTGGGTTAGAAGAAACATTGGAGAGAATGAAGCTGCAGCTGGAGGAATCAATGGCAGATGAATACAAGAGAGACTATGCTGCAGATGTGGAGAGCATTCGTGGTGAAGTGGAACTGATCTTCCGCCAAAAGCTTGGACTTTTATGAACCATGATCAGTAAGAAAGCAACTCCCTATGCGTTAATTTCTGGTGGGAAGCTTTAGCTGTAGGAGTTGTAGACAAATCTTAACTGCCTTAGATAGACTTAAGATGTGTAACTTAGGCGGATCTTGAAGATCCATTTTGCATGGTTTTGCCTCTACTTGAGCGGGTTTCTTCGCCTCATCTTTATTTCAGATCATGTTTGCAAGGTTTTATTATGTATAGTATTATAAACTTCCACAATTTTCTTGATTCGTGTTCCATGTAAATGATGGGTTGCAAAAATGCCGGTTTTACAGTGTTGGAAAAAAATAAGTCAAAATAGAGATCATTCAAGCTTTGTCACACGGTAAGGTTATAAAAGAGATGCGGTTACTCTCCTCCTGATCTCGGCTGCAACTGTGCTTATGGCTGCGTATTCATCAAGAGCCCTCTCAATTATGTTGCACCGGTTAAATTCTGGCAAGAACAACCACAATGCCGTCACCATCACAAACCCGAGTGTCAAAACCCGACTGATTACTTTCGGGATTCTCCACCTTCCGTTAATTGTTTTCTTGATGGTGATCTCCACGGTTGTGCAAAATCCATTTATGAGGAAGAACCACATCATCTTCCAGTCCGGCCTCAACCGTCCCATGTAGAAGAAGATAAGCTCGTGCATTATCCCAGAAACAACGAACGTCCCGAAAGCCGCAGGAAACTGGGAAAAGTTCGGGCCCAAGACCGAGAACAGTTGAAGTAACGGTTCGTATACGGTTGGCCGTAAGATTCCGGTGACCATCAGGTTCCATCGTCTCCCCCAGAAATCTTGAAGTGATGTCGCGAGGTACGGCTTGTTGAACTGTGGCTCGAGCTCAAGATCCGACATGGCTCGAACCACAGCAGCCGTGGCGGCTAGGATGAGCTCGAGTGCGATATATATGTGGATCGCGTAGAGAGTCAACACGACTTTCTCGGGCAGTTTGTTATTGTATTCGTAGACTTTGATGAGAAGAACCAAAAACACTGCCTTTATGGTATAAATCAAAGGACCGAATCCTCCATGGGAGTGAGAATTTGGAGGTTTAGGCCTCGGCTGAATCTTGATGGGCAAGCAAGAGACAGCTAAGAAAATAGGGAGAGATAGAGGTTTAGGGTTTGAAGAGAGAGGACCGCGTCCTAATGCAAATAGAACGAGCTTGAAATTCGCGAGCCAAGCGATGAAGAAAGCCGTGATGCCGAGTATATGTATGGAAGATATCAAGAAAGGAACTATGAAGAAAATAAGGACGACAGGGAAGATTAGTATCAGCCTTTTGATTCCTTTTGGAACCAATTTGGCAATGAAAAAAGTGTAACACAGTGAGATAATCACTAAACCCCATGCCTTAATGAAACTTGCCATTTTTGCTTCTTGAATTCAAAATCTCAGGAAGGAAGAAGATGATGATGATAAACAACAAAAACTGGCACAAAACGTGTCATCGATTAAATAATGATAAAGACATGTAATAAATCCATGAGAAAAGTCTTCTTTCTTTTTTCTATTCGAAAACAATTTGACAATTGACATTAAAGAACCAATTCTCTTTTCTTTTTTAATATTATTCATTGGAGAGATATGGTAATGGTTTATTGATTCCATCGTAATTTTTCTGGTCATAAAAACCATTTCTAAGGTAAAAAATCATCATCGGCTCTGCTCAACTTTTGTTTTCCATGTAATCTTATAACCAAAAAAATTTGGATCTTTTGATCGTTGCAAGGATTTCAGAGGAAACCAACAAGGTTCTAACTTTGATTCCCTGTAAGATTGTTTCTTCCTTGGGCCATGTCAAAAAATCTTTAAGAGTTGACTACTATTGTATTCATCCACTATGTTAATCAAGAACATATTCTTTAACACCATCTTTCCTTTGATCAAAAACCCTAATAATATCACCATAACTCCATATCCCAATCTTGAACAGAAGAGGTGTTTTCTTTGGAGATCTTTGGGTTTGGACTTTAGAATCAAAGATATATAAAGATGGATGAGGAAGAAGGTAAAGATCAAGATCGAGTGACGAGAGGATGTAGTCACACTCACAGCTGTAACCCTCCAGGCCCAGAGGATGCTTTTCACTCCCACACATGCTTCCACGCTCACACTCATCTCATTATCCCTGTAATTAATACATTTCTTTCCTTCTCTTTACTTATTATTATATGATAGGGTTCTGATGATATTTGAATGGATTGTTATAGATAATATTGAATATTATTTATGTTGCAATAGGATCAGCAAGAGAATGATCATTCTGACAGTAGCAACAAGAAAAGGTCATGCGGCAATAGAGAGGCAGTGAGGAAGTACAGGGAGAAGAAGAAGGCTCGCACTGCGTACCTTGAAGATGAAGTGAAGAGATTGCAATCTCTTAATGAGCAAATGCTTAGAAAGCTTCAGAGCCAAGAAATGATGGAAAGTGAATTGATCAGACTCCGGACTCTTGTGGTAGAGATGCAGGGGAAAATTGATGTTGAACTTTGTGGCTTCTCCTTTCAGAAACAATGCAACGGTTCTGGTTTTGTGTACAAAGAAGGTGATTTCTACGCTATAGATTTATCTTTTTGTAACGATAGAAAAAGAGTAAAACTTGAAATTTTGATGAATATGTGAAAGATAAAAAAAAAAAGATATATAGCGAAATCACGTTTTCGAATACTGAAAACGTAAACAAATAGTATCCGTTCATCACCATTAATTTTAATGAAACTGCTTTGGAGATTTAGTTCTATCTATTAGATAGTTTAGGTGTCTGACCTAGTCATCTAGGCCTAATCTGAACACAATTTTTATCTCATGTAATCACACAGATGGATGCAGTGTAGCAACAAGTAATATGATGTGTGAAGCGGCAAGAGTGGAGTGCGAGGAGGGCCAAACACTTCATGATCCTATTCACTCCTTTGTTCCTCAATCACCACCATTCTCACATTAAGCTTTTAGGGGCTGTGGTATTGTGTATATACTCCCTCTGTTTTTGAAAAGTTGTCGTTTTAACTGTATTTGGACAAATTAAGAAAATGTATACAATGACTATATTAACCTCATAAAAATGACAAGTAATTATTTATAAATAATTTGTGTTCAATAAAATGAGGGTAATTTGGGTAGTTATTGGCATAAATTACATTATTACCATAAAACGACAACTAATTTAAAACAAAAAAAAGCTCTAAAACGACAACTATTCGAAAACGGAGGGAGTATATACATATGGGTTTAATTAAGGGCATAGAGGTTGGATTCCAATATAGTTAACTTAGAGCACCCCCAATGGTATGTTCTTATGGGTTTCTAAAAAAATCCTTAAAGTTAAAAGTAATTAAAATAAATGAAAACAATAAATAAAGTTAAGGATTGTTAAGAGTTGACTCTAATATAAGGATTGTTAAGGGCATCTTCAATGGGGGATCATGTGAGGGTGTTCTTATAGAGAATATAATGTTAAAATAATGTAAGATCATGTGTTTAGATCTTTTGTTTAGAAGTTGATTAGTGGGAGAACATGTGTAAGATCTTAAGACTTAATAATATAATAATCTAAATTAAATTAAGATTTTACAATTATTAAAACATTTAAAAATAACATATAAATTGCAAATGCCAAATTTATGAAAAACTGAAAATAAAAGTGAAAATACAATACTAAATATTTATGAAAAAAACATTAAAAATATAAATAACAATAAACAAACAAACATATTACTTAATAAAAGCACAAAAACATTTTATCTAATTAATACATAGTTTATTATCCAAATTTATTCCAAATATGTTGAATATTCCAACCAATGCCCAAATGCCACGTCACCCCGCAACACCCACAAGAACAGATCCAGGTCAAGAGCCCAGTTCCTGATCTTAAGCCCATTAACCCATTTTTTTGGATTTAAATAATGCTTAGATCAGGGGGGGTGATCCCCCAATGCAGATGGTCTAAGAGGTTTAAGGATTGTTAAGAGCCCCATATGTGTCGCTTTCTGATTGGATCAAAAATATTAATAAAAAGTAAAAAAAAAATATTACCTTCAAATCTCAGTAATATGATGGACATTCGAACTCGGGTTCGTGATCGGACTATACATCAACAATTGAAAGCTTATTTTGTTAAGCGTATATGGCAAAAATTTAGTTTTTTATATGTATTTTTTATATGCTTTTATGTCTTGTATGTTTAAATTTTTTAAGAAATTATAATATTTATTAAGTTTTATCAAATAAAAATGTTTATAATTTTCATTAAAATTTTTTTTTTTTTAAGAAACTCACTTAAGGACTTTATCATTGGACAAACAAAATTTTAAAGATTCATCACAAACTCTTTATTATCATAATTTATGATTAAAAAATGTTTAAGAATCTTTTTAAGGATTCAACCATTGATGTTGCTCTTATACACAGATTGTAACTTATTCCACGTATGTCTATTTTAAGGGGTACCAAAACATTTTGATGTAGATTTGATTTGAAATGAGGAAGAGGAGGATTGTAATTGTTATGAATGTATGATGATGATTGTGGCTTGTGGGCTTAGAAGATCTTTGGGGGTCCATTTATAGATTCTCTATATGTGGGTATGGTGAATACCCAAACCAATAATAGCTAAGGTTTGAATGCATCATACATGCATGTGTATTTCATATTTTTCAAATTCAGATGAATTCCATTGGTTTGGTTGGCCCCAATCATTGATTTTTTTTTTCAAATTGCCTCAAACATAATAATCATTCTCCCATGTAAATTTACATGCGAATCAAATATTTCTGGATGAGTCAATGATAAGGCCGCAATGTTAGATTTTTGGGGTAAATTATTTAGCAAAGAGTTTATAATATTGTAAACACATAACATAATCATAGAGTGGGGTGTTAGGTGCCTCGGCTCTTGTGACTAGACTAGACCACTGCTTTTGACACCCTAAAAATAACTATTATAATCATTGCTTTCCTTTGTGGGTCATTCTTCTTTTACAAAAAGGTCCTTTCGAAATTTTAAATTTTCAAAAATAATAATTCTTTTTTAACCCAACATTAATTTAGAACAACCATGTCTTTTCCTCTTCAATCCTACCCTCTCATGAATATTTTATTAAACCAAAAAAACATAATAGTTTGAATATGTGTTTGGCGAAAAAAAAGGAAGCGAAGCTTCTTGCGTAAGATTTTTTTATATAGTCCATATTCTATACTATAACAAAATAAATATTTAGTTCCATTGCTTCAAATAAGAAACCTATGGATTCTAACAAAAAAATAAAATAAGAAACCTATGGAATTGGTCAACACGTCCTAACAATTCAATGATTCATATGCCCATGAGATTAATTAAGACAAATTTTCATCATGAAACGGCTTTATTTTATTTCATGTGGTGGAAGCATGCAATAATGATTGAATGAAATAAAATTCAAGTGTCTCACCAAACAAATAAAACGACAATAAAAGCAGAGATTAAGCTGGGCAAGTGACAATTTGGATATGACATGCTTTTTATGTTTCCCTAATTACTCAATTTATCTTTAAATGACAATAAATTCTGCCGTTTCTTTTTAAATAAGCAAGTTGAAGAATAAGAAAACCAGGTGTTTTATTAAAATTTTAATTTAAACCAAAAGCTTAGTTATACTTAAATGTGTCCCTACAATAAAAAAAAAAATAATGATGAAAATGAGAAAGGGACAGTAGGAGAGAGTGGAGACCCCAGCGATACAGCTGGTCTGCATATCAATCACCGGCGCGTGAACAACACATCCCAACTGAAGGCGCGTGTAGCTTTGTGTCCGAATGAAAAAAAAAATGGGGTTGTGTCAGAGAACGTGCAATGCAACCATCCTTTGTTTTTTTTGCTTTTTAAAAACAGTTTATTACACAATCTCTCTGTGTTTCTCTCTCTCTCTCTCTCTTTGTTCTTCCACTCGTGAAAGACCAGAGAGTTTTCTCCTGATCCACACAACAACACAGAGATCCCAAATCCGGAAGATATCTTCTTCTCTCATAACTCAGTTTACTCAGATCAACTGAAACATACAATTAAGTACGTACTTCTTCTCTTTATCTCTCTCTCTCTACTCTATAGAGATTAAATTTGATGATAAGAAGAATCTAATAATATGATGACATCTTTCTTCATCTATTCCCAAAGGAGCAGTAACCGTCAGTCTCACACCTGCAGAAAAATTCACTCTTCATCTAATAATGTTCCTCTACAGAGGGATTCATGTATCGATCATTTTGACTTTTTCAGGTAAAGTAAATTTTTATTTTCTTTTCCTCTTTTGAAAACTAGTAACGTTTTTAACTAAAACATTGAAAGTTACGATTTTTTGCTTTGTTTTCCATGTAAAAATTCTCGGCATGCAAAAACTTTCCTCTTCTTTTTTTTTTCCTAAAAAAGTTTTTTTACCTTTTCCTTTTTTTCTCCAACTCTTTTTCTTAAAGTGTTAATTTTTTTCCTTGTAAGCACGCGAGCGAGAAGAAAACAAAAAATGAATAGAGTAGTAACTTTTTATACTATTTCTCTTTTTAATTTTTTTGTTATTTACTGGTGTTTCGCAGGAATCAAAGATGAAAAATTATAGTTAAAGCTTAGTAGTAGTAGATAGGTTTAATAAATTTGTAGTTAAGAAAGCCAAAAAAAAAAAAAAAAAAAAAACATTAAACTAAAATCCAACACTAGAAACCAGAGAGACCTCTTAACGACAACAACCTCTCTGTACACAAGACAACAAACACTCTCTACAAAAACACTACTCTTCCTTCTTCTCTCTACTCTAATCTAATTCTAAAGAGAGAGAGAGAGAGAGAGAAAAGCCATGGATGGGTATGAAGCTACTAGGATTGTGCTCTCTAGAATCCAAAGCTTAGACCCTGAAAACGCATCAAAGATCATGGGTCTTCTCCTTCTTCAAGATCACGGTGAGAAAGAGATGATAAGGCTAGCTTTTGGTCCAGAGACTCTTGTTCACTCTGTTATAGTGAAAGCCAAGAAAGAGTTAGGTCTCATGAACTGTTCAAGGTCTCCATGGAGTCATCAAGATGAGTTAATTAGCCCTAAGAATAACCGCGGCTCTTCTCTCAATCCTGCTTCTTTGCCCTTCTACGCTAATGGAGGAAGATCTTCTAGGGATTTAACCAACGACTTCGAGCTCATGGATGATGTTAACTCAAGAAGTGATTTTTTGGGCTCTGTGCATGCGAGAAGCGGTAGCTGTGTTTTGGACGGGTTAGGGTATGGTGGTGATTCTGATTTAGGGTTTGGAGGTGTCCCCTGTTCTTATTTCGCTAGAGGCTTCTGCAAGAACGGAGCTAGCTGCAGATTCGTACACAGTGATGGAGGAGCTGATTTGGTTGGCTCTCCTAGCAGAATCGAGCTTCTTAGGTCTAACTCGGTACCTCCAAGACTTGCTCACCACTTCATGACTCGCTCTTCTCTTCCTTCTTTTTCACCTAAAGGTGTTAACTTGCAGCAAAACGATATTCAAAGGTTTGACCTTTTTCTCAACTGCTTTTTTTTTTGTTCATTTATAGTCAAAGTGTGTTTTTTTTTTAACTTGTGTAAATTTCTGTACAGAGCTGCTGCTGCTTTGATGATAGGAGATGAATTGCAGAAGCTTGGAAGATGGAGACCTGAAAGGATTGATCTTTCTGCTATGGCTTGTCCAGCTTCAAGACAGATCTATCTGACATTTCCTGCCGACAGTAGGTTCAGGGAGGAAGATGTGTCTAATTACTTCAGGTAATTGCCAACAAAACACATTCAATTTTTCTTTGGTCTGAATGTATGTTCTTGTGTGACATAAGATGTTGTTATGGTGGTTGTAGTACTTTTGGACCAGTTCAAGATGTGAGGATACCATATCAGCAAAAGAGGATGTTTGGTTTTGTGACATTTGTGTACCCTGAGACTGTTAAGAGCATTCTTGCCAAAGGGAATCCTCACTTTGTGTGTGATTCTAGAGTTCTTGTTAAGCCTTACAAGGAGAAAGGCAAAGTCCCTGACAAATACAGGTACTTTACTAGTATTAGTAACTTTCATATTTGTTCCTTGAATCTCTGCATTTACCGTGCTTTTATCCTTGTGTAGAACTAACCAGACAACAGAGCGAGAATTGTCCCCAACAGGCCTTGATTCTAGCCCCAGGGATGTTCTAGGTAGAACAAACACTAAAGCTCTTGTCTTTTTTGGGTTTGCTAAAGAACCCTTTACTCGCCGTTATACTGATTTGCTTGCGGTGCAGGTGGGAGAGGGTTTTATAACAACACCCAAGATGTGCTGTGGAGGAGTAAGTTTGAAGAAGAGATTCTTGAGCTTCAGAGCAGAAGGCTGATGAATCTGCAGCTTCTTGACGTCAAGAAGCATTTCCAACTCAATTCCCCTACCAACATTCACTCTCCGAATCCTTTCAGCCAATCACTTATATCTCCCGGACCATTGTCCGTGATCAAGAGAGAGTATGAAGGAGGAGAGAAAGGGAAAGGAAGTTCTAAAGAAGGATCTGATGATGATACAATGAATCTACCAGAGAGGTAGGTTTACATATGAGTCTTCTGCAAGGAAACTGTTTGTGTATTTGAAGCTGAAGTTTTTTTGGTTGTTTCAGGTTGGAGGATAGCTTGCCAGACAGTCCGTTTGCGTCGCCCGCCCATCATTTGCTTCTGTTTGCTGATTCTACAGACAATAACGGATCGGATTTGTGGTCGCCTTCTTCTGATAATGATGATAATTCTACTCCTTCGACACTCTCTGACTCCTTCAACTCTTTCAACTGCCAAATGCCGAGGTTTCGAGATTCAACCACACTTTATGTTTCTGCTATCAAGTTAATGGTATCTAACATTGCGTTCATGATTCTCAATAGGTTACCGGCGATTGGAATGTTACCCAGTAGGGGTGGACCAACCTGTCGTGTTGGGATATAAACAGGTAAATATTGAGTTAGATTAATAGATGGTGAACCACAAAACAACAATCTTGTTAGGTTAATAGTTTGTTTGTTGTTGTTGTTGTTGTTGCAGGAAGAGAAGTAAGAAAAAAACTGATAATATAGAGAGACCCTTAATAACCAAAAAGATGCAGAGGTGTATAAAATAAAAAGCAGGAAATTTGATGTAAGAGATAGAAGAAGAGAAAGAAGGAAGATTGTTGTACCATTTCTCTAGTTTTAATGTTGTAATGTGATGGACCACACAAGATGATCTAATATGATATGATATATATAATATAGGACAAGAAGTGTAATCTCTCTAAAGATATACAAAAGAAAAGAGAGATTATCATTTGCGTTTGAAAAGTCAATATGTTCTTGTCCTTGCTAGTTGTTACCCTCTCACTCTAACTAGTAACTACTCTCCAACTTGGGAATCCAGAGATATCAACTTTTGGTGATTTTTTCTTCAACTATAATCTTTGATTTCTAGGTTTTGTGTCCCCGTTAATAAATGCAACTAGTGGAAAGTGTAAAAGGAGTAGGTGATACATATCCATGGTTATTACCGTGATTTAAGGCAAAGAAAAGTAGAATGTTATGTTCATATAATTGCATGTAAAGACTAAAGTTATGATCGATATCCAAATTGTGTGTCCTTGATGACTTAGCAAAAGCAAGGACAGTGGTGTGTGTGGTGGGACACGGGCGAGAGAGTGAGTGCCAAAAACTAATAACACAACATTACAAAAATAGTTTGTAACTAGTGGTCTACTTAAGACTATGTCGCTTCTATTATGTGAAAGTTTGAAAGAAGGTGTTTCAATTCATCATATCACCACCCTATGATCAAACGAATGTGAAGGCCACATTCATTTTAAGCTAATAATACATATGTATGGTTTGATATGTGTGTACACAACGATTTCCAAGCTTCTTGCCATGTATATATATATATATATATTGATCAAATTTAGGGACTAGGATGATCGTTTTAGGATTCTTATGGTCCGAATAGAGAAATCGTTGTAAAAGTATTAGAAGCTTAAGCATGTATGTCGCTTCCGAGATTCCGCTTAATGCTTATTTTCTGGTCACAAACTATTAAAATTATTGTATAAAACAAGAGGAATAAAAACAACTTCTAAATAGGAAAACAGGAGTAAGCATATCGGCTCCGGATTGGCTCTCTTCAAAGGAAAACCTTCGTCCAATAACTTAATAAAATGGTGTTTGACGAAAAAAAAAAAAAAAGAAGAAGAAAATAATGGGATCCCACGAGCCAACACACAGGCCATGTGGTGTGGGGGATATATATTTCAGAAGTTGTGTTTTGTGGAGACATGTCCACATATATACTTCCAAATATCGGTTTTAAAAATATTTATACATATATGTATAAACTAGATGATACGTGAAATGTCAACTTCATGATGACTTCAATTAGTTTTACGGCTAACTAATTTATCCTACCATCTACTCAAAACTCTAAAACAATATTATTTTGATTCAATTTTTTTTTTTTGAATGCAATGTTAAATTATATTCAAAAAGAAAAAATGTACGGTTTTACAACTTGTGCATCGGTTGGTTGAAACAAAATTTGAAGCAAAATTTGAAACTATTTTGACTATCTAGACCTCCCGTTGACGCTTAGCTGCGAGCTTGAAGCCAGAGTTGGTACGCGTCGTCATACCTTCTGTCTCCCATAAGTCGGACTGCTGAGATTTGATTCCTTACATGTTTGTCAATCCACCCCGTGATGCGTTCAGCTGTTTGTGGGTTCTCTCCATGTCGCCGCCCATTCCTTTCTCTCCATATGGTATAGGTAACTGCTTGAAATACATATCGAAAGAGGAAGCCCTCTACTCGGTTGAGCTGTGTGGAAGATATAATGTCAAGAAGAAGAAGCCAATCTGTTGTGTATCGAGTTTTGAGAAGCCCCTTTGCAAGGGCTGCCCAAATGGTAGAGCTGAAATCACAACCAAAAAAAGAGATGATTCCGGGTTTCTAAACATCTATGACAAAGAACACATGTTCCTGCTCCGCCTTGCCATTTGATCATACGATTGCCCGTAGAGAGCCTGTTTTGAGCTGCTAACCACACACAAAAGGAGAATTTTGGTGTTGCGTGTGCAAACCAAACTCCCCGGTGCCATGAGACCGTGCTAGAGGTTATTCGGATATGATTCCAAGTATCTTTAGCTGAGAACTTCGGTTTAAAGATATCATTTTTCCCTCTCCATAGAACAGTGTCCCCTTGTTCCTTCCTTTTTTCCCGCTGCTCTTGTAACGCATCTTCCATTGCGTTGAGTGTGGCTGCCCGATGTCTTCTTCTCCTTCGATTTGACCAGGCAGCCGCTAGCGAGCTTGTTCGACTGATACCCATATCAATGACTCCTCGAGCACCCACAATATCTACCAATCTCCCCATTGAAGACCAATCATCATACCAGAAAGATGTAAGTTCTCCGTTTCCCACTTCCACCTTGCAGAACTGCTTTGCTACCTCTCTATACTTTAGGAGTTTTTTCCAAATCCAGGAACCCATATTAGTGCTGCTGTTGATGGACCAGAATGAAGTTTTCTTAAGAAGGTACATTTGGATCCACTTCACCCATAAAGAGTTGCCCTGAGATACTATGCGCCAAATAAGCTTTAGACAGCAAACATCGTTAGCTTCTTTGATTCAATTTTTTATGGGATTATTATCTAAAAAGCCATTTTTGCTCAACCATTTTTCAAAATTGTCATTTTCTCAACATTCTTTCAAATTTGCCATTTTTGCCATTTTTAAAAACTAAAAATTTGGAAAAATAATTTCATAGAACATATACTTTATAACAAAAACTATACCTTACAAAAAACTGGAACTTAATAAACCCAAGCATTATGTGTAAATTTGTGTTTTTGTTTACAAGAAAATGGCAATTTTCAAATTTTTTTGATAAAATGGCAAATTCTATAAAAGCCATCAAAATAAGTCTTTCATTCGTAATTGATTCATTTTTTATTTATAGTCTACACTACAATGTGCACATTACTAGATTAAAATTCTGAGACGTAGATAACACTTATGTAAAAATCACATGATTAACCTCGCCTTATAAAACTAAAGTACACAAACGCAAAACTTAGATGGCACACATAGTATTTGTACATTTGCCAATTTCATTACATCTTTTGCATTAAATTTTCTAAAAGTGACCAAAAATGTTTTATCATTCCTTAGAGACAAAGGCACTCTCATAATTCACATCCGTACAAAAAGTTAGTGGCAATTAATTTTGAGGACAGTGATGAAATAAATCGATGGTAGGGATCTTTGACCATTGGTATTGGTTTCAAAGAAAGAGGCATGACACACTTGGACTTGGTCGATTCATTAGAAATGGAATCCTTTACCCAACCCAAACCGCAATTAAATGGAGGAAACGAAGAGAGCTCCAATCATCGGAGCGTGTGAGTCACAGCCAACGAGAAGCGAGTGGATGTCTGAGAGAGTGGAAGCAAAGGAGAGTGAGAGAAAGTTAAAAAATGATGTTGTCAGAGGGGTTGAATGCAACACAACGTGCAATTTACCTTTTATTGTCTTAAAATTGGGCCCATTTTCTCTCTTTTCTTCTCTCATTTTTTTTTTTTTGGTTTGTATTCTTTTTAAAATATAGCAATTTCTACGAAAGTAGAGTAGAAAGATCTGTTTGAGTAAAAATAGCAATATTAAGAGCGAATCGAATGTGGAAGGCGGACGTCATTTTACTGATTGGTGTAGAGCTAGTGAATGATGAATTTCTTTTATACACCATTGACTTAACAAGCGTGAAGTCATTTATTTTGGTTTTAGTTCATTTTTTTTTTTGTCATCTGAATTTATATATAAAAACATAGAAGGATACATTTTGAGATTACATACGCCGGCGGAAATATTGAATATCTCCGGAAACCAAAGCTCAAAAGAGGGAAACAAAAGCCGGCGGATGACATAAATGTCCCCGGAAACTAGGCTCTAAAGAAGAGAAACTTATAACACTGGAAATACAAAGCAAATATATCAAACCGACAACGCAAGAGAACGAAACCATAAACTAAGACAGAAGCACAAGGCTAAAACCTTAAGAGAAACAATAGACCAAAGAAAACAAGGAAACCACTTCTTCTGAAGCACCTGCGATTGAGATTTACCTAGGATGCCCTCGGCCAATCCTAAAATAACATCTACCTTCTCCTATCAAAATGAGAGCTGACCTCTCGAAACCAAGAACCAAAGACTTCATAACCCGGCAAGCAAAACCTATGAGTTGAGAGAACCTCGAGCACGCTTCCGAATACGACTACGACGACTGCTACGTCCAACAATGTCTAACTAGAAATCTTCAAAAGGCAATCCTATCAAAACAGATTCAGGAAAGCAAGGACAAGGAGTGAGGCCCAACCTCTCAAATATCACCAATCACAAGAACGAAAACGACGATGGATCGAGACGGTTGTCAAACACAGCGAACAACAACAGGGAGAAGAAGCATCTGCAAACATAAAGTTCTATCGATCCAAAAACAAACAAGCGAAGCTTCTTCTTAGCAAGGAGACGAACCCAAAAGAAATCAAAAGTTGAGACGAGTCGACCAGGAGCGGATAGAAGAGCAAAGTCTGGAAAGAACCTGACTAGAACCCAGACAACACTCAACAAACGGCTTAGAGACAATCAAAGCAAGAACGACTAGGCTAGGGACAGAGCAAGCAAAAACCAAGGCATAATTCTTAGAGCAGCACCGTAGATCCTATACATCCGGAGCCAACAGCTTCGCAAAAGCCACAAATCCCAAAGACAAAACCACTCCAACCGAATCCGCAAATCACAAAATCAAACTCGAAGCAAATCCAAAAAATCCCCAAGCGCATGCCAGAATTACACATTCAAACCTAAACAAACTAGACTCAGCTAGCAACAGATCTATAAACCAATCACAGGCCAAAAGTACATAGGCAAGGGAAGCACCACCACTTAGAAACCTCACCGAGCAACAGATCTGAAACTTCGCATGGAACCACAACCCCAACTGAAGCAAGCCGCTGCTCTACACCAAGGGGTGAGAGAGAAATAGACGACTCCACCAGCTCCATGGACAGATAGCTCTACAAATTGCGAGATTCTAGACCAAAACCCAAGCAGATCTGAGATTTCAAAAGAGCCTCTTCACTTTGCCCACGACCAGAACGAGACCACCACCAGCACAAGAAAATTAAAAACTACAACGAAAAGTGATGGAGGAGACCGACGCCGGCGCTATGAGAGCCGCCACGCGCCGGTCACAAGCTTGACGGAAGCAAAGGCGAGGAGATAAGGCAGAGAGAATAAGCGGCCCAGTTCATTAGTTAATCAATATTCTTTTGTCAACTAATAAATAATTCAATTGTTAATCAATATATCCATGAGTTTTCTTTTGGCTTTATATACATGCATAAATCAAAACATTTCAAATTATTCTCAGACATGTACATTGTTTCCCAAACATTTACTTAATAAAGTTTGACAAAAAGAAAATATGTACTTAATAGGAATATGGACCATTTTTTCTACATTTTTGCAAAAATAAAGAAATATTATGAACATTGGAAAAGAGAGCTCAAAAATTTGAAGTTGGTCTTGAACAAATTCCTAGGATAGGAGTGATATGATTATGATCACGTGCATTGTGGTTGCTCATTTAGAAGCATTTGATTTCAAAAAAGAAAAAAAAAAGAATCTGATTCTATTTAATTCATTGACTAGTAAGTTTCAAGTTTGATACATTTTGGTCCCGAGAGTAAGACCAAAGCCGATAATACTTTAATTTTTACGTGATGGTCATAATTTTTTAAGGGTTAAGTTGGAAATTACTAGTACATTTTCAAAACATAATTGGAAAAGTAGTATATTCACTATTTACAATTATCCCAAAAGTAGTACGTACGACTGTAGTAACTGTTTACAAGACTCTATGATTCACAAAAACCTTTGATATTTATAAAATTTGCCATTGAGATATGTTTATTAAAAAATCAAAAAACTAAAACAAAATTATTTTAGTTTTCTCGGGGATGTGCCTTTAGTCAAGTGGTTAAGTCCATTTGACTCCGCCTTCCCCACCGGAGTTCGACTCCACTAAGTCGCGTTATCCCGCGTAGTATGGATTGGCTATGGATCGGGCTTTGTCGATCTAAAGTTGTCAAAAAAAAAATTATTTTAGTTTTTTCTCTCTTTCTCTCGATTCTGCAGAAATGGATTTCCACAGCCTTTTGAGAAGAGATCTTCAATTTCTCTGCAAGAGGACCAAAATCGATCTGTGAAGTCAAACACTTTCCAGTTTCCGATTTTGAATATGGCAACACCAGAGAATCATGGCGATAGTTCCGATTTAGAGACGGCGGAGAAGATAATACTCCGGTGGGATTCAACAACAACTGAAGAAGCTAAAGAGAATCTGATTTTCCAAATCGTTATCTCTGCTTTAGATAGTCACCGTCCGATCGGAGAATGACAGCTCCGGCGAGCTAAGAAAGCTTCGTTCGATTGGTCATTTCAGATCTCTTTCTTGGAGTGTTTCAAGATCGTGGTCAGCTTCTAAGAAATTACAAGCTTTGGCTAATAACTTAGCAACGCTTGGACCAAACGACGTCAGGTGGTGAGAAGAAAAGCAGGACTGATAAAGACACTATTTTGAAAGGTTTTAAGGCTTATGTGGTTATTTAAGGACTGATGAGTAGTGGCGGACCCACTAAGACAGTACATGGGTCAACTGACCCAGGTTAAATTGTCAAACATACTGTAATGCATAGGAACTACCAAAATACTTGTAGCAAAATTGGTAAAATGTTACTGAGCTGACACCCCTGATTCAAGGTTCGATACTTAAGTCTCACAGTTTTGGTTAATTTTTGGTTTTTAACATTTTCACTACTTTGTAATTGACTGCTTTTAATTTTTTATTCCTTTAAAAATCACAGCATTTATTGAGAATTATATACTTTTTTCTTTATTAATTGTGAAAATAAGAAATATTGTTTTTATTTTCTAGTGTTTGTGTAATATTCTAATATAATAAATCATATAATACAATTAAAATTTTTTTTGACACCCCTAAAAATAATTTATGGGTCCGTCACTCATGAGAGTGAAATCGGAGAGAGCGACCCGTGTGAATGGACAAGTGGTGTTGCCCATGATTTGCGATCAATGAGTCTATGCTGGTTCGGTCGTAAGTTTGCTCATAATCCCATGATTTGTTTTTGTTCGTAATTAACACTAATGGCACTTATTCTGTTTGCATTTATTCATTAGTCTATGGGTCACAAACTCTATTTATTTTCTTTTCTTTTTTTCTTTGGGTCTAATCTTAGAAGTCAAGCTTAAAGCATCTATATTCAAATATATAGGATTTTCTGTTTCAATAAACAAATATCACAAACAATGAAATATATACTATACGTTTTCATATCTAAATTATTTGTTAACATAGTTGAGACTTTATGATAAGTAGAAATTTCAGAATTTTGGGTAATGATCTACTGTAAGAAAGTATAATTTTGTGTTAAAGAGTATAATTTTGTGTTAAAAGTGTTTGTTTTGGATAAAAGACTATAAGCATCATGTTTGTTTTGTATAAAATGTGTAATAGGCATTCTTTTGGCTTGGGGATGTAATTCTTTTGGTTAAGGTAGACATTCATTTGAAATATGTTAGGAGATAAATTTTAGAGAAGTGTCTATTTTTTAGAGTTATAGTGCAACGTTGTTATATTTTCTAGAATAGCGGTAGTTAATTAGGTACAAGGAAATTGAAATGCAAAACACGTTAATTTCGAACGAGTATGTAATGTTTTGGATGAGTATGATGATTGAAAATTTTATGAGATTGTGTATTTATAAAGTTGTATTGTCGGTGCACTTAAATTCTAATATATGACATTTTATTAAACTTAAAAGAATGAATTCGTTTTAAACATATATAAGAAAATATATACGTCTAGCTAGAAACATGTACATATAGAATAGTTATATTCTGTACAGTGATCTATATCTGTACAGTGCTCTATATATGTATCTGTACAGTGGTATTCTTTACAGTGGTATTCTGTACAGTGGTCTTTTGTACAGTGATATATTTCTGTACATACATTCTTCTGTACAGATGCATCCTTCTGTACATACATTCTTCTGTACAGATGTAGACCACTGTACAGATATACACTACTGTACAGAAGAATATCTTTACAGAAGAATATCTTTACAGAAGAATATCTGTACAGAAGGATATCTGTACAAAAGGATGCATCTGTACAGTGATTTATATCTGTATATATATTATTTGTACAGTGTTCGGTAATATAAAATTTAAAATTTATAAAAAAAAATGCATATCAAATGATAGAGAAAAAAACATAAATTTTTATGTATATGATCAATTTTTGAAAAATAAAATTTACGAACGAGCATTTTAATTATTAAACTTTGAGGAAATGAAATATAATAAAGAAAGAAAAAGAAATTTAATAAAAAAACTATGATCCACACTCTCTCACACACTTTTTAATTTCAAGAAAAAGAAATTAAAAAAAAAAACTCTGACCCACACTCTCTCTTTCTCACATTGACATTTTCTCTCTCACACTCTCTCTCTCTAACACTCTCTCTCACGAACAATTGTAAATAGTACTTATACTACTTATATAATTAAGTTTGATAAATGTACTAGTTTCCCAACTCACCCAATTTTTAATGGGTTGATTAGGTCTAAACAAGTTTAGATTGTTGATAATTTACTTATGCAAAATAGGGAAATGGCTCATCTTCCTACCTTGTGTAATTAGTGAAGTGGGACAGAGGATCTTGCCCATCTCTTATTTATCTGTCTCATAATTGGAGATATTTGGCCTAACATTGTCGTTTGAAATTCAATTTTTTCATTGTTTGTTCACTTGATAGAAACAGTTACAAATCTTCTCAAACAGTAGCATGATACAAACTATTGCCAAAAGCCATATCATTCACACCATTAATTAATAATAAAAAAGATGACGATCTTATCAGCCCAGTTATATATGGGCCTACTATATTGAGCCCATTAATAGCCCACACGAAATGAAATCGGGCCGTAACAGAACCGGAAGTCGAATAGACGACACCACCGACCGACTCCACTGCTTCTTCTCCAATTTCCAATTCGTTGCGTCTTCAGCTCCCAAATTCTCCCGCTGACCCCTAATTTCTCCAAAATCCATCACCGTCGATTGAGATTTCTCAATGGGAAAGTGGAATCATCGATCCCGATACCACCGTCGCAGATCTCCTGAGCGATGGTATAGCGAACGTCACTCTTCTTCTTCTTCTTCAGGTATTTTCACATTCCTCTTGATCTTAATTTGCTTAATTTGGTATCTTACAAACAGTGTTTGACTGTGTTTTATTGTCAAAGTTTATAGTGAAGACGATGGGATTCCGAAATGGGAAAAGAGATTCTGTGAGGTGATTGGATCAGTGCCATGGCAAAAAGTTGTTGAAGCTAAAGACTTTAAGAGCTGGTATAATGGTAATGTTATCACTTGGAATGACTCTGCTTGCGAAGAGACTTTTCACAATGAGAAGAAGCGATTTTGGTCACAAGTTAATGGTCTTCATTGTGATGTGTCTCTTCCTGATCCTGATCTTTACATTAGTGAAGTAGATTGGGATACTTTTGTTGATCCGGAACTGATTAAGGATTTAGAAAAGGCTTACTTTGCTCCTCCTGGTGAAGTGAATATTGGTTTTAAACGACTGCGTCGAGATAGGAATTGGAGTGGTTGTGACACAGTGCCTGTTAAGGAGGCTCGTATGTTAGAAACTCCATGGAAAAGTAGAGAGGAAGTCCATGATGTTAATGCATTGGGGAAGAAATCGAATGGATGGAACCTAACAGATGGTAGTACTGATTATCCAAAAGATATGGGGAGTTCTTGGGAAGGCAAGCCTAGTTGTGTAAACGAGTACGTAAATGATACAACATCTGGGGGTTGTTTGACGACTGAGGAATGGAAGGAGAACCAGTGGAGAACAAAAGATAGGGTTAATGACTGTTGGGAGAATTCGGGCCAGGGAAACGATGATGGATGGGATAAGTCAGGGCACCAAAACAAGAAAGTAAAAGGTTCTGAAAGTGTCCCAGCCGAAGAGGATAAAAAGATCGACAATCCTTGGGAAGCCCAGCCTAGTTGTATTAAAGAGACAGCAAAAGACACCACGTGGGGAGGTTTCTCTGGTAAGGGATGGGAGGATAGAGGTTGGAATAATAATTCTTGGGGAAGTGGTGGATGGGAAAACCGGGATTGGGGAAATCAAGGTATGGAGATGAAGGAATGGCGTGGTAAAGGATTTAGTCGAGATATTCGGCAGCCTAAGGGTTATAATCCATGGAAAGGTGGCTATGTGCCTGACAATGTAGCTTTCAGAGAATCTGGCGTGAATGCAGGCGGTTGGCAAACATGTAGAGGGAGTGAGAGAAAGCAAAGAAATTGGGATGTTAAACAAGCCAGTGATGGTTGGGGTAGGCAAAATGACAATGCAGCTTTGAGAGAAAATGGGGCAAATGCAGGCAATTGGCAAACACGTAGAGTGAGTGAGGCAAATCAACGAAATTGGAACGCAAAACGAACGAGTGACGGTTGGGGTAGGCAAAATAAGGAAAGAGATGACTCATATAGCTACCATTCTAACTACAAAAACTCATGGCCTAGAAGAGATGATCATCAGAACTGGAAGGTCAATTTCTCAGCTAAGTAAACCAAATGATCCATTGTTTTTTGTGATGTGTTTTTTTTTGTGTTTGAAGTCTTAGCTTGTTATGTTCTGTGCAGGCAGTGTAGTTTTAGCTTAGCCATTGACCTTCCATGTTATCTCAAAGAGTCAAAGGCATGGTTTTATGTTTCCACTTCAGAATTAGCATATGTAGAATATATACAAGTAGTCGGAGTACCCTTTTTGATGATAATGTTTCATACATACTAAAAGTATTCAAGGTTTTTGCCTTTTGAGGCTGGATTGATAATGATTGTGTTCTTTGTGAAGATGATTTATTCACATTTGCTTAATTTATTCCAACTTCAAAAACACATGAATACACTTATGGTTTGGCTCAATGCATCCCTTAAATGCTTCTTCATCTCATTTTTATATTCAAAACTGAGAGATTCTGCTTTAAAGAGTGTGTTTTGGAATAAACAAAGTTGGGTATATGCTTCACTTTCAAAGCAATGGGTTGGTCCATTATAATGGGTGCGTCTAATTATTAATAGATTAATTTGGACATGGTTATAGACTTAAAGTATGATGGTATGGAGAAAGTTGTAAAAACTCTGCTTTGCTAATTGGACGGTGATCAAAGCTCAAAAAGTGGGTGAATTACAATATTTTGTCCAACCCAGAAGCTATCATCCTATTGCTACAGTTTCAATACAAAGCAAAGGTAACTCCAAAGCACCAGACTTTACTCTGTTCTGTATCATTAGGACCAAAACAGTTGGTAGACACAAATGTTAACAAAATAAGAATTCAATTCATATATTTCTTGGAAAAATCCCTCATGACTTTACAAAATGAATAACAAATTACAAATATAAACCAAAACGTATATGAAAACCATTAAAAAAACACGCATCTTTCACTCATCCCTTTTGCATCAACAATGTCTTAAAACTTGATTTCTTCTCTTCTAAGTTGTCATGTTTTGGTACCCACCAAACCCTGAGACTCTTGTCAAGGCCTCCACTGTAAAGCATGAAGCCAGCACCGACATTGTTAGGCGAAGCTTGCAAGCATTTGACAGGACCTTCATGGCCATGTATGACTCCGAATTTACAGAGAATGCCACTCGTTTCTCTCCTCCACAACCCAATGCTCTTATCAGCGGATCCACTACACACCATTTCCCCAACTACACACATACACAGAACCGCCATGTTATGTCCTCTCATCTCAAACCCTAATCTCCATTCCTCCAAGTCTTCCCCTTTCTCTCTCTTCTCCCATCCCATCACAAACCCATCTGATCCTCCTCCGTATACCCAATTCCCGTCACCGGAAACCACCACCGAGTTCACTGAAACCTCTGCACGACCCTCCAATGTAGCCTTCAGAACATGTGAAGAAGAGGAAGAAGTAGACTCAATCTGCTTTCTTTTATCTCTCCCCCATATCTTGATCTTTCCGTCCGCGGAAGCAGAGTATACTCTGCCATCTCCGGCGACAAGGCCATTGATTGCGTCGTCGTGAGCCTTAATCGATTCAAGGCACTTGAGATCCGATAATCTCCAGACTTTGAGAGTCTTATCCCACGATCCAGAGTAGATTATCCCGGCGTGGACCGCAAGGCACGAAATGCTGTCAGCGTGTTCGATCCAGAGACGCTTATGATTCCTCCTCGTCTGAACGTAATTGCTCTGTTTCATAAACTTCCCCAAATAGTCTTTAGTCGTGGGAAGCGTGTCGACAAGCCTGAAAGCATTCTCAGAGTTTCTCCGAGAAACTTTCCAAACTCTGATTCTACTGTCTTGATGCGCCGTAAACACCTTGCTTCCCACGCTGACCAGAGCCTTCACAGACCCATCACCTTGTCCGAATTTCGCAAAGATCTTGAGATCAGGCTGTTGCCAAACGATGATGTCTTTTCCCTGAGACGCACTCAACAAGAACTCACCACAGAGCGCCAAGGAAGAAACAGAGCCTACGTGAGCAGAGAGGACTGCGAGCGGCTTGTACGCGCCGGTGATTGGCGGACGGAGAGTGTTGAGGACGAAGCTTTTGGTGGAGGCGGATGGGCTGAGGGAATCGTCAGAGTCGTTGCTGTTGCTTGTCGTTGAGGACGAAGATGAAGACATCAAGACTCCTTCTTGGATTAATCTCACCATCGCATCAAGAGATTCAAGATTTCGTTTCTATTTTGGACCAAAATGGGAGCGTTTGAGGAATTTGTTAAAAGAGTATTTAAAAAAGGAGATAAAGGAAAGGAGAAAGGTACAACGGCTACATTTGACAGGTGGCTTAGCTTATCATTTGCGCATTTTTATTTTATTTTTCTTTATGCTAATTTTAATTGGTAACATTTTAGTTTTAGCTCATGGAAATGGAATCTTATAATGTATGAAACCATTTCAGGAGCCTTGAATTTAACGCGAGCTTATAAAAATTGTATATAGTAACCGATTGATCAATGGTCTCTTGTTTGACCAGTGATGTTAATAGAACCTGATAATGTGGATACTGTAACGTCAAGGATTATGATAATCAAGATAATATATTGTATACGATATACCAAATTTGTTACGACTAATTGCGATTAAGTTGGTAGTAAACCTAAAATACTTTTTTTAGTTGTTAGCATCGTTACATATTATAATTACGAGTTAATTCTCAAATAACATTCCCAAATGAGCTAATTTTCATATTGTGTTTATAAATTGGTAGATAGGCCAATGTATATATTTAAATCGATTTGATGCATGTTTGTTTTCGTCTTTTTTCTCTTATTTGTATATGTATTTATAGTTTACTAATTATTGATGGGAGAAGACAAAGATAAGGGAGCTCTGCCATCTAATATGGAAATCAAGATATCGGTTTTTAAATCAAAACTTAAACTAAACTAGTGCGATGAAATGGAAAGTTTAGTTAACAACTATAAAAAATAAGCTGAAAAAGTAAATCCCCACTAAGCCTAGTGGGAGCGTAAGCTCACGTGAATCCGATTCTATTTCACTACAAGAAATATCTACATTATTAGCATGAGAGAAGAGCTATTATATGTCATCAATAGCGTTTTCATAAATGCTATGTTAGGTCCCTGTTATGGTAGATCCCCCACGTACGATAACGTTTTTTCTGTATGCTATGATAGACTATTCTACCATAGCATTAGTAAAACGCTTTGATATAGCTACTTTATATTGTTAATAATGACGATATATCTGTGCTATGAACTATTGTTTTTTCAATGCTATAATATTCAGTGTTATGACTCTTATTTTATGCAGTCGTATTAAGCTATTTACATTTGGTGAAACCTGCTTAATTTGCAAAATAGTCAATCTATATACCCAAAAAAAGTCTTACATATTATCATATTCGAAGAAAATAAAACACATCGATCAAGAAAACAACAAAAAATAACTCTTACACAAGCAAATGACACACCATTTCCTCCTTAAGTCAAGTACATAAATTGGCTCCATGTTTTGGGTCAGCTATCTCCTTCTCGTCTTTACCTCGAACAAACAAGTCCAAATTCATGTAGCCTTTAACGTTTGAGGAGATAGGCAATCTGGATAAAGAAAAAAAAAAAAACAAGAAAGAAGACTACTTGAGTTATACAATCTTTCAGCAAATCCATAGAATAAAGCCCAAATTGAACTTAACATTATTGACCAAACCACAAACTGTTTTGGCTCGTATCTGCACTGCAACAGATTTTGATCCATCAAATCAAGAGAAAAAGCTTTATCTGCTTCAATTTTAAAAACATAGTAAAGTTGCAGTTGTGCACACACCTTGGACTTGATTAACTTCTCCATTTTCTGCTGGTACTTGAGAAAAGACAGCCATTTACTTTTCAATTGCCTAATAATAGCAAAAGAAAACAAATATAATTTACAAAAATGTCAAGTTGATCAAAATGACAAACTTTTTAAAGATATTAGAGAGTAACCTACCTGTATTATTGGATAACTTCTTTCTACATGAGTTAGAAACATTCTAGAGCTTGTACTCACGTCACTTTTGAACTCCCTAGGCAAGAAGAAATAGAATCACCACATTAGTATTTCCATCTTCACCTTGCAAATTATTCTCACCAGTCAATAACTTAAACTGCTCCTACAATCCTACAAGCTCCTTCTCCTAAACACCTTCCTTCTCATTCTTACTATTAACAAAACATGTTCCCTGCAAATACCAATCCCAATTCAGCATAGGAACAAGCAAAAAGACTTCAAATCAACATCTAAATGAACTTGAGCATGGTAAATTAGAAAATCTAACCGGGTCAGGATCAAGCTTTTCTTGCCCATTAGACTCATCATCATTATCAACCCCATCAGATATAGAATTAATAGAATACAATCCATAATTAACAGCAACACGTCTAATGATTTAAACCCTGCTTCTCCAAGTATGTATTGCTTAAATTCTTTAATTATGTCCATTAGCTCTTCACAGCTGAATCTGAGACACAACTATGCACAAAACTTAACTAGAAACCACAAATTTGAATTATAGCTTATGGAGAGTGAAATTAGACCCGAAGATTTGATTACCCGTCAAATGCTAACACATGAATGAGGATTAGGGTTTATCTCCGATCTGCTTACCCACCTCTGAGCTTATTCTTCTTCTCCGCCATCTTCCGCATCTACGTTACCATCGTCACAACTCCATTCGTTCTGTCAAAATCGAAACTCCTTTGATTCAATTCAAACCAGATTTGATCAAGAAGAAGACAAATAAAAAAACAAACCCAACAACAAATTCAATTCAAACGAAAATGAGAAGCAAAAGATAAAAGTAACGACCAAATCACAAACCACCTCTTTACAATCTCTGAAACTTTGTCACCCAATCTTCTTCTCCGTTCTAGATTGTCTCATCTTCACCATGACTAGACCCATTCGAATCTGGGTTTCTCGCTTTCATTCCCACGAGGGAGAAAATCATGGCCGACGAGTGCTTCGAGAACGCTGGATTGGCCGCTGCTTTAACTTCCGACGAAAACTACTTGCGGAAGCTCGATTTTGGCTTCCTAACTGAGCGAATATGTCTTCAAGCAATATCTCTCTTCTCTGGGTTGGAACGAGATGAGCGTTGGAGCCTTGGAGGTCTCATGTGGAGAGATGAGAAAAATTAGGTCACAAATGGGTTTTGTAATTTTTTCTAAGTGTGGGAGGTAAAAAGGGTAATATTTGGCTAAATGTTTGCACTCACAAGTGAAATTTTAAATTTTCGTTTTAATTTTGGCTAAATGTTGAGCGGTATAAGTGATTTTAGATTTCAGCATATAAATTTTTATCTTAGCATTTACTAAATACTATTATATAGTAATCAAAATTATAAACTTATCTGTAATAGCAGTTGGGAAAAATGAGCTATAATATCTGTAATTTTTTTTTGTAGTGTTTGTATCGTATAATACCAAATCAAACACAAATGTTTATGATCTTGATTCTTATTTACCCATATCTTATTTCTTAATTTGTTTTGTTGTTTCTAACTGGAAAGTACTATGATAAGAGAAAAACATCTAAATAAGGTTCGGCATATATATCTAGATACCAAAACAGGTAACGCCGATTTAGGTCCGTCTCAATATTCTTTTAGACTCTATGTAAACTAAATTTGAAGGGCTTTTTTCATAATAATTTTTTTTTTTGGGGACTCCTTTTTTTCTAAAATTTGGCATGGACACTTGGCTTCTACTTTTACGAAATGGAAATTTTGACAGAAGTTGATATAGTTATCAATTTTTGTTATCTGATATTAGTTAGGTACATAGCTGAGTAAACAATTCTTTGATCATATGAAGTAACGAATCGCCATAAAAAACATTTGTTCTTGCTAATCCGTAAAATCAAGTTTGACAATCATGATCAACTGGACAATATCTGAAACTCAATTTTTCCCTAGGACGATATTTCCAGCTCAATTTCCTCCCAGTCTCAATTTTTCTATTAAAAAAAAAAAGTTGATATTCTTGTCTAGAAAAATTGTTTTCACTAAGCATTATTAGGACACGAAATAATAGAAAATCAAGGGTTACATTAGAGAAACCCTTGCATCAATTACATCTTAAAATGCAACTTGTTCTTGCTGCACGACTTTTAATTCTTGAATCCTCAAACCCGAGCATTACTCCACCGGTCCACCCTTTCTTTTCGGAATAATCAAGATCCGAATTTAATTCTCTTTATATATTTCCTAATAACTATGAAAATAAGGAAAAAATAAGCGTTGAATTCATAAGTTTGAACAAAGACGCGTGACCTGGAAATCGTGCTCCAGAAAAAATATCACAAATAATGAAAACGCAAGGTCATGAGTTTTGACCTTGACCGGGCAAGAGCCTAGAGCCAAGAGGTGATGTGTAGTACTTAAATGAGATAGAAGCTCCCATCTTCCTCTTCATCACAAACAAATCAAGAGAAGTTGATCATCATATCAAATCAAAGATAGACTTTGACTTTTCTTTGTGATCGAAGATGGCTGATGCTTTCACAGATGAACAGATCCAAGAGTTTTACGAAGCCTTCTGTCTCATTGACAAAGATTCCGATGGTCTGCTTTTGTTCTTTCTCTTTCTTGTCTGATTTGATACACAAATTTTATTCAGGTTTTGATGATGTTATGATGCGTGTGAAACAGGGTTCATCACGAAGGAGAAGCTAACGAAGGTGATGAAGTCTATGGGGAAGAATCCAAAGGCGGAACAACTGCAACAGATGATGAGTGATGTCGACATCTTCGGCAACGGTGGCATCACTTTTGATGATTTCTTGTATATTATGGCTCAAAACACTTCTCAGGTAAATATATACACTTACAGGGAAAGATTTAATTATTATAGTCAAGATTGATAAATTTTAGAGAAAAGTTATATAATGAAAAAATTGGTGTAGGAATCGGCATCGGATGAGTTAATAGAGGTATTTAGAGTGTTCGACAGAGACGGAGATGGTCTCATATCTCCACTTGAGGTAACAAAATCAAAAATCAATGTATTTCTTACATTATTTTAAACCCAAAAATTACATTTTCCTAACATACAAACAATATTATAAAAAGAGTTGGATAAGAAGTGATCATGTAGATTTTGATTTAACTAAAGAAGACAAATTACTAAAATGCTACCTTTTGGAAGACCTTATTATCTTTATGATCGATTATCATCCACTTGTTACAACACTAAAATTTTTGTCGCCATAAGAAACTCCATCCACTTGTTTATGGTCTTGTTTTTTTCTCAAACCGACACCACAACAATCGAGACACACAGACTACTAGAAAAATATGTCGTCTGAATCTAAAAGAACAATTTATCCCCAAAAATAATGCAAAAGATAGGTCATTTACCTTGTTCAAATAGTTATTAGCTTACTTTATATATATAACCATTCTCTTAACTATTGTCTTTTTAGTCATTTCTCCTAATTTCTGTAAACTAAATGCAGTTGGGAGAAGGAATGAAGGACATGGGGATGAAGATAACTGCCGAAGAAGCAGAGCATATGGTTCGAGAAGCCGACCTCGATGGCGATGGTTTTCTTTCATTCCACGAATTCTCTAAAATGATGATCGCTGCCTCTTATTAGCATTGTGAAATGCCATGATATAAGAGTTTGTTTTTGCAGTTACAACTATTTTTCCATATGTTAAAGAAAGATCATATCCTATGTTACTGTATTTTCCCAACATAATGTATAACAAAAGTGTCAGGTTCTATTCCTATATCAATGATTTATTTGAGTCGACAAATAACTTTTTCCTATCCAAAATCAGAACCAAACCAAAACAAAATTATGTTCTATTTTTAAACATATTTTCTTAAAACCGGAAAATTCAAATCCAACTAAACCGAGAGTAATTATCTGACTCGGTCACTCGACGATTGAACTGGTGTCCGTAAGTTCCATCTTCAATCGGTGCAAAACCCTAATCAAGAAGCAGTGTGAAGAACCAAAGATCAGTGGTTGTTTGATAAGTAAATGGTGAGAAAATCGGTTGAATTGTCGAAGTTGTTCATAACCTATTAGCTGTGCTATAGACAGCCCCGGCTGAGATGGGTAGGGCGGAAGTGCGACGGCCCGGGGCTTTTTTTTTTATAAAAAAAATTTACATATAAAAAGGCCCAAATATTTTTTTAAAATATTATTAATATGAGAATTATATTTTAAGAGGCCTAATTATTTATAAGAAAATGTATAAAAAGGCCCAAAATTTTTAAAATAACAATTTTTACTATAAAAACTCTGCAAAATTTTTAAAAATTAAGTAAATTTTCTCTTTGTATATAATAATAGGCCAAAAAAATTTTTTTTGCCCTAAGGCTCTCAAATATATTGAGCCGGGGCTGGCTATAGATTGTTGTTCCAAATTCCTATTCAAGTCCCCATCATTGAAGGTTAAGTAGCTTTGCTGTTCTTTTCTTTTCTGCCGACGGTTGTTGTTGAAATTTATGGTGTTGTTGATGCTTGTCACTTTCACTCGTATTTAGATCTGTCTCAATTCAAGTTTCTTTATCACAGTGGACACAAAGATATGACCTAGAAGCTGAGATATAGAATCTTTACATTGAGTATAGCAATTTGATACTTGCAATGTTAGTTTTAGTAGTGTCTAATTAAAAGATATGGCTTTGGTTGAAGGAACTCCATTCTACAACCCTTACGACTGATTGAGCAAGACTCTTTGCATTGAATATAGTTTTGTTTTCATGGGCAAGTTTCCACAGTCCAGCCTTGCAGACAAATTGATGACAACATAGCAAGGAGAGTGGAGATTAGTAGAATTTCAGATTATAAGAAATTTGGGAATGAATAAGCTCTTGAAGAAATGATGTGTTTTGTCTAAGAAATATCTTGATTCTTATGAGGGTCAATAGGTGGCACTCTTTTTAAAGAATATATACTTTGGAGTCTTGATCTCGAGTGTTTCCTCTTGTATTCATCTTTTATCTATGATTCCTTTTTAATTTTCATCAATGGTCCAGCGTGCCACTGCTGCTGGAGATGTCGCGGATGTGATGGAGAAGGAAGAGTCACTAGTAGATGTCTAGAGTTTGGGATTGATTACATGGATCAACAACTAGCTGCTGTTGAAGAAACTCTAGATCAGAAAACAGAACTGCTAAATCACTGCCAAAGAGTTTCCCTCTACGTTGTCTATGATTCTTGATCTTTGTAGCAATCTTCTTGCTCATAGTTGTCTTTGCTCTCATCTTTAAAGTTGTTTTCCTGAAGATCAAATTGTTTGTTCCTGCTATGACCGGAGAGAGTAATCTATCTTGACATTTATCAGAAGGATAAACCCTTCTTTTCTAGGATAAACCTTGCAGTAGATGAGTGAGCTCCATAAAACATGATTCCACTGTTACAGTTTAGAATCACATACATGGATGATTATTGCTAACTCATGTGGACTTGTCTTGACACTGACCGAAATAGCTGAATAAGCCAAACCTCCTCCAATAGCATTAAATGATGTGAAAAAGAGATATCACATTTGGAAAAAGGGTTTAGGGAAAAAGAGTGAAAGCAGACAAAGACATCATTCAACATCATCAACAGGTCTTTATAAGAAGAGAGGCCAGAGAAGAGTTTAGATGGAGTTAATAACAATCATATTTATCACATCTATATACATATATGAAAGAATCAACCGTTTTTTAAGTTTACACTACTACTACTACTACTACTTGATAAGAAAATTACTGGAAATTAATTAAACAAACGACAAAATAAGGTTTTTGTGACAGAAGAAGAAAAAGAGCTTGAAAGTAGAAACTAAAAAACAAAACCAAAAGGATCCATCTAGTTAGAAGTAGAAGCCAAACTCTCATCACTAAGTAACTCTTCCCAAAAACCATCATCCAACTCTCTTTCTACAACCAAATGATGATCCTCTTCTTCCAACATATTCCTCTGTTTTCCATACCCTTGCATCTCCAAAGCCAAAGCCTCCAATTCCGACATGGAAGAAGAACCTCTTTTCCTCTTTGCTGACTCATCATCCTCAAGCTCCTTAATCCTTTTATCTCTCTGTTTCAGCAACTGATGCAAAAACGAAGGACTCTGCATTGCTCTAGCCAAAAACGACATCATCTGTCTCTGTTTCTTCTCTGCTCCTTCTATCCTCTGTTCCATAGCTTTGACGTAGCTTTTCGTAGTTTGTTGCTGCTGTCTCAGACTTACCAGCTCCATCATTAGCAATTGTTTCTCCCTGCGAAGCTCGTTGCAAGCGTCATGGCTTGGTGGAGATGAAGAAGTACTAAAGGTTGTTCTTCTCTTGATGTTCTTCAACAACTGTCTTTGTCCTAACAAGAACCCTTCGTTTGCAAATTCCCATCTCTCTGCTTCTATCTTTCTGAAACCCTGTAATTTTTTTTTAACATTAATATTCAAAATTGAATTTGAAACTAAATCTTTTGAAAGTCTACATATTCTCACATCAATAATTGGAGTGAGAGAGACTGCTTTGATACTTTTTTCTCTGTTTTTTTATATTAAAGAATGGCACAAGTGGGTAACCTTAAAGCTGATTAGTGAATAAACAATGGCTATTGGGATAAGATCGCTGACTGTTTCTTTCGATTATTTTAGTAAGCAAGTTGACACAAAACAAGCTTCTGGAAGTTACTAAACCTTCTTCTACTCCACCAGCCATTTACGGAATCTACATTTTCGATGTTTCTAGAATCCGAAATTAACAACAGATTCTACAGTAAAAACTGCTTTTTTTCCATTACCAAGTTAATTGTAAGTAATTTTTGTACTAGTATCCAGAATACTTGACGTAATTTTCCAGCAACTATGATAAGATCAAGGGAAATGAAGGTAAAAAAGACAGAGCATTGCTCTGTTTTTTATTTTGGTACAGAGCAAAGAAGAACAGAGAGAAGACTCACATAAGTATTGAGTTGTCTGATGAAACTTGAGAAATTGCTGTGTTTGAAATGTCGAGGGAGAAGAATCGTAGAGAAAGAATGCAAATCCCAAACGACAAAGCTAGTGCCTCCTCTGTTCCAAGAAACGATGTGGTCAGTATTTGGATCATCCACCATCTCAAATGTCTTGGTCAGAAATGGAGGTGGGCCAATTTCGTGTAAACCCTCCATTGGTTGTGGTTGTGGTGGTGGTGGTGGTGGTGGATCGCCGCCTTCCGGGAGAAACGGATTCATCATCTTGAGCTTACGGGTTTTTGTAAAACCCAATTGGAAATTAAAGACAAGATTCTTGATGATTTCGATTTAACCAATCTCCGAAGTTGAGTTCATCTTCGGATTTTGAAAACTGACCTGGTTTGGTCGGATTAAGTTCGTTTATGGCAGTTGATGAAGTGAGGAAGGTAATGTCCACGTAAGATAATTTGAGGGGTGGCTTTATATAGGAAGAGGAGAAAGTGAGTGATGATATTTAATTTGATTAAAATATTTGTAAAAATATTATTATAGTACACTCAACTTAGAAATTAGAAACTTCTGGAACGGTGACCTTTTGGTGCACATTCGAATAGTCGAAACTTCTGGAACTTCGTTATTGAGGACTGTACGGTATGGTTTTCACATTGGAGTATTTAGGACCCACCATTTGTATTTTACAAATATAAAAAGAGAGAGAAGAGAAGAGTGATGCAAATGGGGATTTGTAATTGGTTAAAATTGGTTTTTATGTTGATGTGGCGGTTAGTCCATCTTGACATTTGGCTTGGGTCTAAACCGGATTGGTTAAGGCTACATTAAAACCAACCAGTAAGTAAGTACTTCAAGAATTGACAAAATTCTCTATTTTGCAAAGAAAAAGAAGGCCTTTATTAGTTTCTGACTAGTAAATATCTTAGAGATTTTCTTTATACAGAAAAAATATAAGTTAGAGTTTTTTACAAAATATGAACTTTTTTATATGAATATTGTGACTACAAAATCTATCAAATAAAAAAAAAAGCTTCACTTAATCTGAATTGGCCGGTCAAAACAGTATTTGGAGCAGAACCTCGTTGTTGTATATTTTTTTTACATTCGCAGAACATTTTTAATCAACAACAAAAATACAGAAAAATACAATAGTAATTCACTAGCAAACAAATTGTACATAGTTTTTGTCTTTTGACCATCAAAAAGGGGTACATGCCTCATAGTATTATTAACTACTTTATCAGTTTATTCTGAATTGGTCGGTTAAAACAGTATCTGGAGCAGAACATCGTTGTTGTTTTTTTTTTTTTAACATTCGGAGAACATAGTTTTTTATCAATAAAAAATTACAGAAAAAGATAATAGCAATTCACTAGCAAACAAATTGTGACCATATAGAGCAAATCCTAATTGGTCCGCTTGGACTCTTCCTAGAAACAGTACACTCCGTAGCTACCTTTTTGATTCAATCCTCAGACATGTGTCGAATGGTCTAAGTGACACTTGATGTATTGCGGCGATGCCTCATGGTACGTTTTGTACTCAACATCTGGCTTACAGTGTTTTGTCATACAAGATCTCAAGAAAACTACAGTAGAGAGATTTACGAATTATTTTAAATTCGAAAACTGCTAAACAAAAAAAATATGGAGTTACAAAAATAAAAATGTGGAGACTTTATTGAATCACTTTTTTTTTTTTTTTTTGTCGCAAGAGTGTCTGTTTTATATCATAAGTCAGTATCAAAGCCAGTATGAGAGCCATTACAACCAGACATATTACAAACTGAAACATGACTAAAAAAGTTCAGTTGATCAAAAGCATAAACTAACAACGATTACAAGAAGAAAATTATCAAGGTAAAAACAAAAATAATCATTAAAAGGGAAGATGATAAGGATAGAATAACCTGCTGAATCAAAAGGAATTGCGTTATAACAAAAGTTTCAAAAAACAACCTGACCTTCTGAATCAAAGAGAGATTTTAGCCAAAAGGGAAAACTTGTTGCCACATAAGACTGATATCGATTGCCTTGAATGACACTGTGAGCAATAAGTGAAGCTCCTTTGTTTGATTCAGTGTCTGCATTTTCGATTCTCCAGTTCTGAATTGAAGCTAACTTCCTGTTGAGTTCAGCACCAAAATATTGTAGAGAAGGCCAGTCTTGAGGTTTATTGATAGTGTTTACCATGTCAGTGGCTTCAGATGCAAAGATCACAAAGTTGTATTTGTGACTAATCATACTATCAATAGCCCATAAGATGCTGTGAAATTTAGCTTCTGTCAGAAAGACAATGTTGGAGAAGCAACGTCTACTATGTAGCAAAACTACACCATTCTCATCTCTTAAAACCCATGAGAAACCACCAATGTGATTTCGCTTTGACCAAGACATTCCAATGTTGCATTTAACCCATGGAGCTGAGGGTTTAGACCATGTCTTTGAATGCTTGCCTCTATCAAATTTTTTTGATCTTGTATATTTGGAGCCGAGGATTTGAGCATTAATCCATTGTGATGCTTCATCTTTAATTTTCAAAACCAATTCTATTGGTACAACAAGTTTACCTTCAAAGCAGAACCCATTTCTATTCTTCCATAAGTACCAAAGTGTCCATGGAAAGCTCCGACGAATGTGATCTGGTATGTCTGGATTCTGAGCCAATGTAAGCAGATACTGAAAGTTGGTGTATTCAAAGTGAGATTCAAAACCACCAGGTGGACAGGGAAAGTCAGATAATGCCCAAACCTGACGCGCAATAGAACACTGGAAAAGAACATGGTTAGTAGACTCCTTATTCCAGCCACAAAATTGACATCTCAAATCGTAGCTCATTCCTCTCATTTCTAACTTATCTGCTACAACAATAGCACCACTCAAAGCTCTCCAAATAAAGCATTTTATTTTTGGAGAAGTGTGTAATGACCAAACCTAGACCTTTAAATCATTTAAGGAGGGTTTTGCCTCAGCAGCTACAATAAGGTCAGAATTGTGTAATTGGTTAGCTAACCAATAACCATATTTAACTGAGTAGTCCCCACTCCTATTATGCATCCAACACCAAAAATCATCTTTAGTTGTCACAGGTTTATTGAGAAGTATGAGGTTCACATCTCTTGGATAAAATAATTCCTGCAATCTTTGTAAATTCCATGCTCTTTCCTGAAAGTCAATTAAGGCTGATACCTTAAGGTTTAGATCTACAAAGATGTTCATCATGAAGGGAACCCGCATTCTCGCATCAAACAGCCAGGGATCAATCCATACAAGTGAAGAGTTACCATTTCCAATCATTTTTCTGAGACCTGGAAGAAGCAGTTGACGGCCATGAATAATACTTCGCCAAATGTATGAAGGCCGTGAACCCAAATTTGCAGAGAGGATATCAGAATCTTCAAAATATCTACTCTTCATAACTCTAGCAAATAAGCAATTAGGATGCTTCAAAATTCTCCAGACTTGTTTTGCTAATATGGCCTGATTAAAGCATTGTAGATCTTTAAACCCCAAGCCATTTTGTTCCTTGTTTAAGCAAAGTTTTTTCCAACTTATCCAGTGAGTTTTTTTTTAATGATCCAATGAATTCCACCAGAAATTAGACATTGCTGCAGTAATTTTTTCACATGTTGTTTTTGGCAGCTTAAAGCAAGACATGGCATAAACAGGAAGAGCCATTGCAATTGCTTTAAGGAGAACTTCTTTTCCTCCGAGTGATAAAGTGCGTTCAAACCAGCCAGATAGCTTAGTCTTCAATCTTTGAAAGATGTAGTCTAACATTTGAACTTTAGAACCACTAAAACACTCAGGGAGTCCAAGATATGTACCTGTTCCTCCTTCATTGTGAATGCCTGTCAGGGATTTGATTGATTGCTGCACCTGAATGTTGATTTTGGAACCAAAGGTAATTGAAGATTTGTTCAAATTAATCCTTTGACCAGTCATAACTCCATAAGAGTCCATAATATGCTGAAGTGAAGTTGCTTGCTCCACAGAGGCTTTACAGCTGAAAGACTGTCATCCGCAAATAGAAGATGATGAATTGCTGGTCCATTTGGAGAAAATTGAATTCCTTGAATAGATCCTTCTCTTTCAGCTCGGTTCAACAGATGAGATAGCCCTTCAGTGCACAAAGCAAATAGAAAAGGAGATATGGGGTCTCCTTGACGCAGTCCACGCTGAGGCACTACCATACCAAACGGTTGATCATTGATTACTGTTGAATAAGTAACAGAAGAAACGTAGAACATTATCCAATTAATCCATTTTTGGTGAAACCCTAAAGCAGTTAGCAAACCTTGAAGATAACTCCATTCCAGTCTATCAAAGGCTTTGGACATGTCCGTCTTAATGGCCATAAACTCAGAAGAGATAACCGGGTGAGTCCTAAGAGCATGAACCATTTCATGAGCAATTGAGATATTATCAGAAATCAGTCGCTCAGATACAAAAGCTGTTTGAGTAGGAGATATTATCAGTGGAAGAAGAGGTTGCAATCTGGCAGTCAAAACCTTAGAAATTATCTTGCATAAAACAGAACACAAACTGATAGGTCTAAGGTCAGACATTAAGGTTGGGTTTTGGATTTTGGGAATAAGACACAATTTGGTGTAGTTCCATTCAGATAGAAATGAACCAGATATAAAGAAATCCTGAACTTCCATTGTAACTTGATGACCAATGATCTCCCAATACCTCTGAAAAAAGAGACCTGTCATGCCATCAGAACCTGGAACACTTGAAGGGTTAATCGCAAAAGCAGCCTGTTTAATTTCATCTGAAGACACTGGTCTAATCAGAGTTTCATTCATTTGCTGGGAAACCTTAACAGGAAAATCAAGGAAGAGCCAATCAAAATTCCCAGGGTTGGAGCTTTTGAATAAGTCAGTGAAATATGTTGTTGCAATTGCTCCTTTAGAAGCCTCAGAAATTTGAATATTCCCATGAGCATCCTGTAAAGCTTCAATTCTTTTCCTAGACCTATTAGCATTAACTGAAGCATGGAAAATTTTTGTGTTAGAGTCTCCTTCATCCATCCATTTTTCATGGCTTTTTTTGCTCCAAAAGGATTCTTCTTCTCTATAAGCTAAGATCAGCTGATTCTTCAATCCAAGGATATGAGATACTGATGGAGAGATAGAAGACTGTTCTTGTTCCAAAGCTACCTGAATCTGATTAATTTTATCCAGAGAGTTAAAACAATTAACTCTTTTCCATTTGCTGAGGCCTTTACGACAACTTCGAAGCTTATCAGAGACTGAGGATGCTTGTGAGGGATAGACATTAGACCAGGCTGTGAGAATGGTTTCCTTAACAAGAGGCTTGTTTAAGAATCTTTTATCAAATCTGAAGTTGCCTTTGTAGGTTTGATTGGAAGATGAAAATTTAACTAGAACTGGTCGATGATCAGAGCCTCTTTTATCTAGAAATGTCTGATTGGAAGCTGGAAATTGACGAAACCAATCCTTGTTGCCAAAGCTTCTATCTAGTTTACTCTGGATCCACAATTTACTTCTCATTCCACCCCATGTAAAACTATTA